CGGCACGGGAGGAGAGCTTGTCCGCGGACGTATCGCGAACAAGGGCTCGGCATCCCCAGACACGGAACACCGACGCATCGCCAACCTTCCCCGTCCACAGCAGTGTGGGCGAGGTCTCCGGCAAGGAGACACGGGGCCAGAGGTTGAGCTGATGCGCAGCGTACCGCACTGCAAACGGCCACAGGAAATGGGGGGCAGCCGCATGGATCATGGAGGTACGAGCGACCTCCATGACTAAACCAATGCGGCGCTCAGCAACCCCATTCTGCTGTGGGGAGTCCGGAAGAGTGAAAGTCTGGCGGATGCCGTGCTCCGCACAGTAGGCGGCCAGGAGGGCGGAGGAAAACTCACCACCCCTGTCAGAGTGCAGACGCAGGACGGGAAAGTCCGACTGGAACCGCTGGCGGAGCTGGAGACGAGCGGCGCGGATCCAAGGGATCAAAACATCAGGGACCTCACCCTTGGTGCGCAAGGGGAAGACCGTGGTGTAGCGCGTGTAGTCGTCGACGACCAGCAGGAAGTACCGCTCGTGGCCCTGTCCCCGGACGCGGGCCGGGCCCCACACGTCCAGGTGAAGAGTCTGCAGGGGAGCCTCTGTGGGAGGAAACGAGGAGGAGTGAGGGGTGGCGCGCTGCCGCCCCTCGACACAGGGAAGACAGGGAGGAGCAGGCGAGGGTGGGAGGGGAGGGAGAACTCTGGGAAGACCAGAGACAAGGTAACGGGAGTGCATGCCACGAAGGCGCTGCACGGAGGGGTGACCAAGGCGGTGGTGCCAGAGGACGGTCTGGTGCGACAGGGAGCGACACGAGCAGGGAGCCGACAGCTGACCTGACGCAGACGCAGACGCAGCTACCTGAGGGGACTCAGTGGTCAGTGTGTACAGGTCGGACCCCGGCTGCCGAGTGAAGGTAGCCAGGTGGCGACCCGTCCGAGCACACGTACAGTGGGTCACCCGCTCATAGGCAGGGGTGAACTGGTGAACACCCCCGTCCTGGAGAGCAGAGCCCGCCACCAAGTTCGTAGAGAACGAGGGGAGGTAGAGACCCGACAGAGTGCCAGACGGGGCCGCAGGACAAGGGAGGACAGTGGAGGAGGTCGCAAGGACCGGGCCCCCAGAGGGGTCAGCAAGGGAGACAGCAACAGGCCGAGCTAGCGGCTCAAGGACTGTGCGGTCACGAAAGAAACAGCGGGAAGCACCTGAGTCCAGGGTGAAGGTGTGCAGTGCTGCAGTAGACTCAGTACCAGCAGACGCAGACGCACTAGCACCTAGCGCAGCAGCCATACCAGTACCAATACCTGGGTCAGGCGGCACACTCAGGTAACAGTCACCCTCAGCACTAATAGTCAATGCATACATGGCAGCAAGGATAGCATCATAATCAAGAGCAAAGATATCAATTCCCTTCCTAAGCAGATCAGCCCAGCGAGGCAGCTCAGAGGCGTCAGGGAACTGCTCACGCCAGGCGTCATCGAGGCGAGAGAAGCAGCGCTGTGCCGGGTGGAACCTCCCACAAGTCTGGCCAGCGCGATCACCTGTGCGGATGACGTACGAGCAAGTGCCCCCACCCCCAGACCCTCCACACTGAGAGTACCACTCACGGAGCTGCTGGGGCGAGGGAGTCTCGCCAGGACGCTGCTGCGGCTGCCTCTGGCCACCTCCGAACCCCCCACGCTGCACCGCTCCACCGCGCCCGCCACCCGCTCCACCGCCGCCACTACTGCCACCACCCCCTCCACCACCCCCACCACCGCCGCCGCCGCCACCACCCCCTGTGCCGCCACTGACCCCCCCACCACCCGCGCCACTCCCACTTCCGCCACCGCCCCCGCCCCCCCCACCCCCTCCACCGCCGCCGCCCCCACCTCCACCTCCACCACCCTTGCCCCCCTTGCCCTTGCCGCTCTTATGCCTCCCACCGTGAGTAGACGCAGCCCCAACTCCCTCAGCTCCGAGGTAGTCGACAGCAGCAGCAGATGCAATGGAGGGGAGGAGGGGGGAAGGGGAACACCCCTCAAAGAAGGGGGTGCGGGGGTCACCACGAGAGGCACCTACAGCTACAATGCTCTTCTCAGCTGCTAGGAGTTCCTTCTCGAGGAGGTCGACAGTGAGGTCAGTGGGGGAGAGAGCGAGAAACTGGTCCCTGACAGTGCGAAGGGAGTCAGGGAGGCGGGTGACAAGGTGGTACAGTGTGAGGTACATCGGGGGGGGGGTTCTTGGCGAGGAAATCGGGGGGGAGCGCGGCACGGTAGCGGAGGTCACTGGTACGGAGGTGGGTGATGAGGTCAGCGACAGTGGCAAAGGCGGACAGGTCGGGAAAGAGGTAGGGCAGTGAGAGACGGCCTATAGTAGCAGTGGCAGGGGAGGAGTAGCGCGCGACTACGGCGTCGTACAGTTCCTTGGCGGTCTTATGCTGGCCAAAATGCTCGCGCTCATCTAACGGCAGGTGGCTGCGAACGGCTAGGCGAGCATGAGCGTCACAAGTCTGCCACTGTGAGCGCAAAGTGCTATCAGCATCAGCAGCAGGTGCGGGAGCGGCGCCGGACGTGTGGTCATAAAGAGAAATATCGTCCTTGGCGGTGATCTGAAGGTAGAGGTGAAGGTCATCGAGCCAAACATCGAACTTAATCGGACGACCCTCAGCGTCAAAGGTGAGTACAGTAGGACTGGCCATAGTAGCAGTAGCAGGAGGAGGAGCAGTAGCAGTAGGAGCAGTAGCAGTAGGAGCAGTAGCAGGAACAGTAGATGCTGCAGGTGGGGCACAGCAGGGCGGCGCGGCTCCGTCAGGGCGGCGCGGCTCGGTCAGGGCGGCGCGGCTCGGTCTAGGTTGGGCGGCGCGGCTCGGACGGGCAGGGCGACGCGACGGCGGGCCTGGGCGGAGGCGGCGGCTGTGCGCGGGCTGCAGTTGCGCGCGGGCGGCGGTCTGCAGCAGCGACGCGACGGCCTACGGGCGGGGCTGCGGCGCGCTGGACGGCCAGTAGGGCCGTTCGACGGGCTGCTAGCAGGCTGCTCGCGGGCGGCAGCGGCGGTGCGGGCGGCTGCTGGGTCGCGCGCGTCAGAAACGGGCCGCGCGCGGGCGGCTAGCGGGCTGCGCGGGCAAAAAACGGGCCGCGCGCGGGCGGCTAGCGTGCGACGCGGCCAAACAGCGGGGCGCTCGAGGGCGCCCTAGGAGCGAGGCGCACGAGGGCGCAAGAACGAGAAGGTGCACGAGGGCACTACTAACGGAACGGTGGGCCCGTAGGAACGATCGGTCCTAGGTTCCTAACCTAGGCTCGTAATACCATGTCAGAATGAGAGAAGTGATTGTACTATGAGAGAACATTGGAGTACAAGTATGAAACCCTAGAATTGTGTACCCCCTAAAGGCTAACTCACTGTAGCCTACAGAGCAACAACACATGTACAGTGTTTGACGGTATGAGGGCGTATCTTGGGTTTGGGTCATGAGCACTGTTCATACTACTGTACAGGGCATCCGCAATTAGCGCATGACCCAAACCCCCTCCCCAAAGCGCGCGCGATTCGAACCTCGGGTCATTCTCAAAATTGCATGCGACCGTCAAACAAAATGTCACCTCCACCAATCACAGTGCTGTGCGACCCCATGTAAATCAACCCCTCTGTATGCTGCCGTTCGCTAGAGGTGCACGCCCGTCAATGTGGCAAGTACACGTATATCCTAGCGTGGGGAATCTGCTGTTGGGGAGATGGGTTGGGATGGGTTTTGGAACCGCGCAGATCTGAATGTGACCCTTCCCGCCGGGAATTTTGACGGTGGCGTGGGAGGGGTCAGTCGGCCTCACGGCCGGTGGTTGTTCGTGTTTGTGCATGTACGACTAGGCCCAATTGGACGCGACGTGTGTTACCACATTTTTTTCTGGCACGGAATTTTGCGCGCCAAACAATTTGTCGCATGGGGCGATTGACTCGAGGATGGTGTAGCGTGTAGTTCCGAGCATCCGCAATTAGCGCATGTCCGGAACAGTGCTCATGACCCAAACCCAAGATACGCCCTGAGTGCCTTGTCCTTGTTCATTATATTGTTCAATTGACTGCTTGCATAATACGTGATGAAGGAAATGGATTCTAAATACGTACACTCGACCTCGCTAAAAACTTCTGACACATGTTTGGTGTGTCAGTCGCGAGTCAGAAGCTTCACCGGCGACAGTAGACTCAATCGGACGGATCAGCGCCGCCGTTCTGCTGCAGGGCGCGGGACTTTCAAGAGGCGGCGCTTCGAGCTTCCCGCGGGAGGCAGACCCGCGCCTTCCCCGCCTCGTTGGTTCCCCTTTTCCAAACCCAAACTAGATTTTACTGTAACGTATTACCATTCACTACCAAACTAGATCTTACTGTAACGTATCAAAACCTCCAGCACCGTGCAGTTAGGTATTGGGAGCTCCCTTTCAGCCAGGCGGGGAGACTAGGTACCCACTGCTTTCTCCGGGACGTGCGTGGGTCGGCTTTCAAAGCTTCGAGTTTTGCAGTGGGTAATGTTGTGGTGGTTATTCAGAATTTTGGTTCGCGGTCAACATGAGAGCCTAGAGAGTTTTTCCTGAACTTTCTCGCCCACTAGGAAATACCGCGGGTCGTAAGGACTCGTAGCATGTTTCAATAGCGTCGTTGGTGACATTCTCGAGTTTGTCGTTCCTGCATCTGCTCCCGTCTTGAAGTTAGATAATCCTTAGTGCTCTTGCTTCACACACCCGTCATGCTCTCGCAAATCTCCCCTAACGCGCAGCCTCCTAGTCGAACCTCACCAGGGACTAGGACGTCTCCTTCGTTGAACAGTCCGTCGAAATCGTATTTCTGCAGCGCAGACGAGCCGGCTGCAACTCGTAACACTGGTTCGCGAAGTGGCCCGCAGCAGCAGCAGACCCGTGGTTACCAGTCCAGCGACGATCGTGAGTACCATAGCAATACAACTAGCTCTGCTGGTCCACGCGGCACGGAGTTTTTCAACGGCATAACTCTACGGTCACCTCGTTCAGAGAACGCGATGGAGATTAACAACAGAAGTCAAATCTCGCCTCGAACGGGGAACGGGACGCAGTTTCACGACAGGGCGAATGCGGCAATCAAGGCAGCAGAGGAGATGGAGGAGGCGAGGAAATGGCGCGCAGTGCTTCGATTGATGGCCGCTGATTATAAGAAGCTCGGTCGATGCCATGGATTGTGAGTGGGCCCAGCCGGTTTTATAGGCGTGATTTAGGCGTGAAATGGCGCGCAGTGCTTCGAGTGATGGCTGCTGTTCATAAGAAGCTCGGTCGTTGCCATGGATTGTGAGTGGGCCCAGCCATCTTCTCTCCACGCATGCTCATTCAGTAGCCACTGACATGTAGGACACATCTGGAAGCGACAAAAAAAACCGCAGACATAGGTGGTAGTGTTGCAGATTGCATTCCGTTACAGATGGCGTCGAGACCCTTCGATATGGTGGACGATGATGAATGCCGAGCCTGAAATAATCCCACGACGTGTGGCACTGAGTGCGCTGAGTGCCGCATTTTGAATGTCCTGAGTACCGATGTTACGAAACCTTCGCCTCTCCCCCTCTACCACGTGACGTGTTCCACGCTATGACGCAATCTGTCCGTCATGATGTCACGCATTCCCCGCTATAATGTGACTCATTTCCCGCTGTGGTGCGATGCAGGCTCCAGCAGGACTACGAGCGCCGGCGCGGGGAGATGGAGCAGCTGCAGCAGGAGCTCAAGGAGCTCGCTGCGCACAACGAGGTGAGTTCTTAAGGTGACTTTTGAGTCGACTCAAAAGTCACCTCAGCAACAGCTCAAGGAGCTCGCTGCGCACAATGAGGTGAGTGCTTGTCGCACAACCAGGTGATTGCATGATGATTGCATAGCGCACAACACGGAGTGCTTATCGGGCATCGAAGCGGGTGCTTTTCTCTCTCTCCCGCTATTTTTCAGTCTTTCATCTCCTCGACACATCTCCTCTTGCTCTTCCCCCTTCTCCGCCAGTCTCTCCGAGGGGAAATCTCATCCAACGACGCGCGAGCGCGGGAGACGGAGGCGCAGTTACGCGCGCAGATGCAGGCGGAGCGGTCGGAGTTGGAACGGGGCGCCGCCGTCGCTTCCGCGCGCGCGGCCTCCGACCTCCGCGCGGCTCTTTCCGCGCGAGACGAGGCGTTTTCCCGCGAGCGCGCGGGGCTCGCGCAGCAGCTGACGGACCTGCGGCGGGAGCTTCAGGCGGAGCGGGAGAAGGAGCACCCGTGCTTCGCTTGCGCGGAGCGCGCCTGGCGGGACGAGGAGGAGGCGGAGGAGGAAGCGGAGAGGCGTAGGCGCAGCGAGGCGGAAGTTGCGCGCTGGCAGCAGGCGGCGGGGCTTGCGGCGGCGGGACTCGTTATAGAAAGCGCCGCTAAGGAGTTTCTATTAGACCGAGTAGATGATCTGGAGCGATCCGAAGTCGAGAGGGAGCAAGAGCGGCTGGAGAGCGAAAGGGCGGAGCGGGATGAAGGGAGGCGGGAAGGGGAAGCGCGCGCTCGCGCGGAAGCGGAGAACCAGCGGGAGCGGATCCTGGCGGAATGGGCGGAGGAGCGGGAAGCGTGGGGGCGGCGCACGGCGGAAAAGGACCAGGAAGTTGCGCTGCTGGTGGCGGAGAAGGCGGAAGTAGAGATTAAGTTGCGGAGCGCGGAGGCGGAGGTGGAGAGACTTAAAACGGAGGCGGCGGCGCAGCAGCGCGTGGTGGAGAACCTCACGCGCGACCGCCACATGCTCGCGCGCAAGTCGGAGGATCTTTCCGCGCGCGCGGCGGCGGCGCAGAGGCGCGCGGATTTGGCGGAGGAGGCGGCGGAGGTGGCGGAGGCGCGGGCGGAGGACGAGCGTGACCTGGCGGCGTCGCTGCAGCGCGAGCTGCAGATGCTGAAGGCGAAGTTCCTTCACCAGGAGGCGGAGAAGGAGAAACTGTGAGTTATAATGGGGGAGGGGAGAGGAGAGGGACGGGGGGTGTGCGGATAAGATGGTTGGGGAGTTGCAGATGCTGAAGGCGAAGTTCCTCCACCAGGAGGGCGGAGAAGGAAAAACTGTGAGTAGCGGTTGAGAAGGATGGAATGGGATGCAAGTATGTTTGGATCGGTTGGGCGGGAGAGGGACGGCTGCAGATGCTGAAGGCGAAGTTTCTCCACCAGGAGGCGGAGAAGGAGAAAATGTGAAGTGATGGGGTGAGGGGGGAGGGTGGGAGTCGGGTTGGGGGGCGGGGTGCGCGGATAAGATGGCTGGGGAGGGAGCTGCAAATGCAAGGCGCAGTTCCTCCACCAGGAGGCGGAGAAGGAGAAACTGTGAGTGAGGGGGGGGAGGCGGCGAAGGGGGGGAGATGATTTGTTGAGGAGTGGGTGGGGTGTGCAGGTAAGACAATATGATGCTGAAGGCCAAGTTCCTGCTCCAGGAGGTGGAGAAGGAGAAACTGTGAGTAGCGGTTGAGAAGGATGGAATGAGATGCGGCTCTGTTGGATTGGTTGGGCTGGGAAGACGATGGTCGGCGGAGAGGGGGCGGAGTTCTTGCATCAAGAGGCGGCCACGGGAGAAACTGTAAGTTGGGAGGAGGAAGGGGGGAAGTGAGAGAAGGATTGGTGAGCAGCTGAACGTGGTGGAGAAGGATTGGTGAGCAGCTGAACGTGGTGGAGAAGGATTGGTGAGCAGCTGAACGTGGTGGAGAAGGATTGGTGAGCAGCTGAACGTGGTGGAGAAGGATTGGTGAGCAGCTGAACGTGGTGGAGAAGGATTGGTGAGCAGCTGAACGTGGTGGAGAAGGATTGGTGAGCAGCTGAACGTGGTGGAGAAGGATTGGTGAGCAGCTGAACGTGGTGGAGAAGGATTGGTGAGCAGCTGAACGTGGTGGAGAAGGATTGGTGAGCAGCTGAACGTGGTGGAGAAGGATTGGTGAGCAGCTGAACGTGGTGGAGAAGGATTGGTGAGCAGCTGAACGTGGTGGAGAAGGATTGGTGAGCAGCTGAACGTGGTGGAGAAGGATTGGTGAGCAGCTGAACGTGGTGGAGAAGGATTGGTGAGCAGCTGAACGTGGTGGAGAAGGATTGGTGAGCAGCTGAACGTGGTGGAGAAGGATTGGTGAGCAGCTGAACGTGGTGGAGAAGGATTGGTGAGCAGCTGAACGTGGTGGAGAAGGATTGGTGAGCAGCTGAACGTGGTGGAGAAGGATTGGTGAGCAGCTGAACGTGGTGGAGAAGGATTGGTGAGCAGCTGAACGTGGTGGAGAAGGATTGGTGAGCAGCTGAACGTGGTGGAGAAGGATTGGTGAGCAGCTGAACGTGGTGGAGAAGGATTGGTGAGCAGCTGAACGTGGTGGAGAAGGATTGGTGAGCAGCTGAACGTGGTGGAGAAGGATTGGTGAGCAGCTGAACGTGGTGGAGAAGGATTGGTGAGCAGCTGAACGTGGTGGAGAAGGATTGGTGAGCAGCTGAACGTGGTGGAGAAGGATTGGTGAGCAGCTGAACGTGGTGGAGAAGGATTGGTGAGCAGCTGAACGTGGTGGAGAAGGATTGGTGAGCAGCTGAACGTGGTGGAGAAGGATTGGTGAGCAGCTGAACGTGGTGGAGAAGGATTGGTGAGCAGCTGAACGTGGTGGAGAAGGATTGGTGAGCAGCTGAACGTGGTGGAGAAGGATTGGTGAGCAGCTGAACGTGGTGGAGAAGGATTGGTGAGCAGCTGAACGTGGTGGAGAAGGATTGGTGAGCAGCTGAACGTGGTGGAGAAGGATTGGTGAGCAGCTGAACGTGGTGGAGAAGGATTGGTGAGCAGCTGAACGTGGTGGAGAAGGATTGGTGAGCAGCTGAACGTGGTGGAGAAGGATTGGTGAGCAGCTGAACGTGGTGGAGAAGGATTGGTGAGCAGCTGAACGTGGTGGAGAAGGATTGGTGAGCAGCTGAACGTGGTGGAGAAGGATTGGTGAGCAGCTGAACGTGGTGGAGAAGGATTGGTGAGCAGCTGAACGTGGTGGAGAAGGATTGGTGAGCAGCTGAACGTGGTGGAGAAGGATTGGTGAGCAGCTGAACGTGGTGGAGAAGGATTGGTGAGCAGCTGAACGTGGTGGAGAAGGATTGGTGAGCAGCTGAACGTGGTGGAGAAGGATTGGTGAGCAGCTGAACGTGGTGGAGAAGGATTGGTGAGCAGCTGAACGTGGTGGAGAAGGATTGGTGAGCAGCTGAACGTGGTGGAGAAGGATTGGTGAGCAGCTGAACGTGGTGGAGAAGGATTGGTGAGCAGCTGAACGTGGTGGAGAAGGATTGGTGAGCAGCTGAACGTGGTGGAGAAGGATTGGTGAGCAGCTGAACGTGGTGGAGAAGGATTGGTGAGCAGCTGAACGTGGTGGAGAAGGATTGGTGAGCAGCTGAACGTGGTGGAGAAGGATTGGTGAGCAGCTGAACGTGGTGGAGAAGGATTGGTGAGCAGCTGAACGTGGTGGAGAAGGATTGGTGAGCAGCTGAACGTGGTGGAGAAGGATTGGTGAGCAGCTGAACGTGGTGGAGAAGGATTGGTGAGCAGCTGAACGTGGTGGAGAAGGATTGGTGAGCAGCTGAACGTGGTGGAGAAGGATTGGTGAGCAGCTGAACGTGGTGGAGAAGGATTGGTGAGCAGCTGAACGTGGTGGAGAAGGATTGGTGAGCAGCTGAACGTGGTGGAGAAGGATTGGTGAGCAGCTGAACGTGGTGGAGAAGGATTGGTGAGCAGCTGAACGTGGTGGAGAAGGATTGGTGAGCAGCTGAACGTGGTGGAGAAGGATTGGTGAGCAGCTGAACGTGGTGGAGAAGGATTGGTGAGCAGCTGAACGTGGTGGAGAAGGATTGGTGAGCAGCTGAACGTGGTGGAGAAGGATTGGTGAGCAGCTGAACGTGGTGGAGAAGGATTGGTGAGCAGCTGAACGTGGTGGAGAAGGATTGGTGAGCAGCTGAACGTGGTGGAGAAGGATTGGTGAGCAGCTGAACGTGGTGGAGAAGGATTGGTGAGCAGCTGAACGTGGTGGAGAAGGATTGGTGAGCAGCTGAACGTGGTGGAGAAGGATTGGTGAGCAGCTGAACGTGGTGGAGAAGGATTGGTGAGCAGCTGAACGTGGTGGAGAAGGATTGGTGAGCAGCTGAACGTGGTGGAGAAGGATTGGTGAGCAGCTGAACGTGGTGGAGAAGGATTGGTGAGCAGCTGAACGTGGTGGAGAAGGATTGGTGAGCAGCTGAACGTGGTGGAGAAGGATTGGTGAGCAGCTGAACGTGGTGGAGAAGGATTGGTGAGCAGCTGAACGTGGTGGAGAAGGATTGGTGAGCAGCTGAACGTGGTGGAGAAGGATTGGTGAGCAGCTGAACGTGGTGGAGAAGGATTGGTGAGCAGCTGAACGTGGTGGAGAAGGATTGGTGAGCAGCTGAACGTGGTGGAGAAGGATTGGTGAGCAGCTGAACGTGGTGGAGAAGGATTGGTGAGCAGCTGAACGTGGTGGAGAAGGATTGGTGAGCAGCTGAACGTGGTGGAGAAGGATTGGTGAGCAGCTGAACGTGGTGGAGAAGGATTGGTGAGCAGCTGAACGTGGTGGAGAAGGATTGGTGAGCAGCTGAACGTGGTGGAGAAGGATTGGTGAGCAGCTGAACGTGGTGGAGAAGGATTGGTGAGCAGCTGAACGTGGTGGAGAAGGATTGGTGAGCAGCTGAACGTGGTGGAGAAGGATTGGTGAGCAGCTGAACGTGGTGGAGAAGGATTGGTGAGCAGCTGAACGTGGTGGAGAAGGATTGGTGAGCAGCTGAACGTGGTGGAGAAGGATTGGTGAGCAGCTGAACGTGGTGGAGAAGGATTGGTGAGCAGCTGAACGTGGTGGAGAAGGATTGGTGAGCAGCTGAACGTGGTGGAGAAGGATTGGTGAGCAGCTGAACGTGGTGGAGAAGGATTGGTGAGCAGCTGAACGTGGTGGAGAAGGATTGGTGAGCAGCTGAACGTGGTGGAGAAGGATTGGTGAGCAGCTGAACGTGGTGAAAAAGGATTGGTGAGCAGCTGAACGTGGTGAAAAGGATTGGTGAGCAGCTGAACGTGGTGGAGAAGGATTGGTGAGCAGCTGAACGTGGTGGAGAAGGATTGGTGAGCAGCTGAACGTGGTGGAGAAGGATTGGTGAGCAGCTGAACGTGGTGGAGAAGGATTGGTGAGCAGCTGAACGTGGTGGAGAAGGATTGGTGAGCAGCTGAACGTGGTGGAGAAGGATTGGTGAGCAGCTGAACGTGGTGGAGAAGGATTGGTGAGCAGCTGAACGTGGTGGAGAAGGATTGGTGAGCAGCTGAACGTGGTGGAGAAGGATTGGTGAGCAGCTGAACGTGGTGGAGAAGGATTGGTGAGCAGCTGAACGTGGTGGAGAAGGATTGGTGAGCAGCTGAACGTGGTGGAGAAGGATTGGTGAGCAGCTGAACGTGGTGGAGAAGGATTGGTGAGCAGCTGAACGTGGTGGAGAAGGATTGGTGAGCAGCTGAACGTGGTGGAGAAGGATTGGTGAGCAGCTGAACGTGGTGGAGAAGGATTGGTGAGCAGCTGAACGTGGTGGAGAAGGATTGGTGAGCAGCTGAACGTGGTGGAGAAGGATTGGTGAGCAGCTGAACGTGGTGGAGAAGGATTGGTGAGCAGCTGAACGTGGTGGAGAAGGATTGGTGAGCAGCTGAACGTGGTGGAGAAGGATTGGTGAGCAGCTGAACGTGGTGGAGAAGGATTGGTGAGCAGCTGAACGTGGTGGAGAAGGATTGGTGAGCAGCTGAACGTGGTGGAGAAGGATTGGTGAGCAGCTGAACGTGGTGGAGAAGGATTGGTGAGCAGCTGAACGTGGTGGAGAAGGATTGGTGAGCAGCTGAACGTGGTGGAGAAGGATTGGTGAGCAGCTGAACGTGGTGGAGAAGGATTGGTGAGCAGCTGAACGTGGTGGAGAAGGATTGGTGAGCAGCTGAACGTGGTGGAGAAGGATTGGTGAGCAGCTGAACGTGGTGGAGAAGGATTGGTGAGCAGCTGAACGTGGTGGAGAAGGATTGGTGAGCAGCTGAACGTGGTGGAGAAGGATTGGTGAGCAGCTGAACGTGGTGGAGAAGGATTGGTGAGCAGCTGAACGTGGTGGAGAAGGATTGGTGAGCAGCTGAACGTGGTGGAGAAGGATTGGTGAGCAGCTGAACGTGGTGGAGAAGGATTGGTGAGCAGCTGAACGTGGTGGAGAAGGATTGGTGAGCAGCTGAACGTGGTGGAGAAGGATTGGTGAGCAGCTGAACGTGGTGGAGAAGGATTGGTGAGCAGCTGAACGTGGTGGAGAAGGATTGGTGAGCAGCTGAACGTGGTGGAGAAGGATTGGTGAGCAGCTGAACGTGGTGGAGAAGGATTGGTGAGCAGCTGAACGTGGTGGAGAAGGATTGGTGAGCAGCTGAACGTGGTGGAGAAGGATTGGTGAGCAGCTGAACGTGGTGGAGAAGGATTGGTGAGCAGCTGAACGTGGTGGAGAAGGATTGGTGAGCAGCTGAACGTGGTGGAGAAGGATTGGTGAGCAGCTGAACGTGGTGGAGAAGGATTGGTGAGCAGCTGAACGTGGTGGAGAAGGATTGGTGAGCAGCTGAACGTGGTGGAGAAGGATTGGTGAGCAGCTGAACGTGGTGGAGAAGGATTGGTGAGCAGCTGAACGTGGTGGAGAAGGATTGGTGAGCAGCTGAACGTGGTGGAGAAGGATTGGTGAGCAGCTGAACGTGGTGGAGAAGGATTGGTGAGCAGCTGAACGTGGTGGAGAAGGATTGGTGAGCAGCTGAACGTGGTGGAGAAGGATTGGTGAGCAGCTGAACGTGGTGGAGAAGGATTGGTGAGCAGCTGAACGTGGTGGAGAAGGATTGGTGAGCAGCTGAACGTGGTGGAGAAGGATTGGTGAGCAGCTGAACGTGGTGGAGAAGGATTGGTGAGCAGCTGAACGTGGTGGAGAAGGATTGGTGAGCAGCTGAACGTGGTGGAGAAGGATTGGTGAGCAGCTGAACGTGGTGGAGAAGGATTGGTGAGCAGCTGAACGTGGTGGAGAAGGATTGGTGAGCAGCTGAACGTGGTGGAGAAGGATTGGTGAGCAGCTGAACGTGGTGGAGAAGGATTGGTGAGCAGCTGAACGTGGTGGAGAAGGATTGGTGAGCAGCTGAACGTGGTGGAGAAGGATTGGTGAGCAGCTGAACGTGGTGGAGAAGGATTGGTGAGCAGCTGAACGTGGTGGAGAAGGATTGGTGAGCAGCTGAACGTGGTGGAGAAGGATTGGTGAGCAGCTGAACGTGGTGGAGAAGGATTGGTGAGCAGCTGAACGTGGTGGAGAAGGATTGGTGAGCAGCTGAACGTGGTGGAGAAGGATTGGTGAGCAGCTGAACGTGGTGGAGAAGGATTGGTGAGCAGCTGAACGTGGTGGAGAAGGATTGGTGAGCAGCTGAACGTGGTGGAGAAGGATTGGTGAGCAGCTGAACGTGGTGGAGAAGGATTGGTGAGCAGCTGAACGTGGTGGAGAAGGATTGGTGAGCAGCTGAACGTGGTGGAGAAGGATTGGTGAGCAGCTGAACGTGGTGGAGAAGGATTGGTGAGCAGCTGAACGTGGTGGAGAAGGATTGGTGAGCAGCTGAACGTGGTGGAGAAGGATTGGTGAGCAGCTGAACGTGGTGGAGAAGGATTGGTGAGCAGCTGAACGTGGTGGAGAAGGATTGGTGAGCAGCTGAACGTGGTGGAGAAGGATTGGTGAGCAGCTGAACGTGGTGGAGAAGGATTGGTGAGCAGCTGAACGTGGTGGAGAAGGATTGGTGAGCAGCTGAACGTGGTGGAGAAGGATTGGTGAGCAGCTGAACGTGGTGGAGAAGGATTGGTGAGCAGCTGAACGTGGTGGAGAAGGATTGGTGAGCAGCTGAACGTGGTGGAGAAGGATTGGTGAGCAGCTGAACGTGGTGGAGAAGGATTGGTGAGCAGCTGAACGTGGTGGAGAAGGATTGGTGAGCAGCTGAACGTGGTGGAGAAGGATTGGTGAGCAGCTGAACGTGGTGGAGAAGGATTGGTGAGCAGCTGAACGTGGTGGAGAAGGATTGGTGAGCAGCTGAACGTGGTGGAGAAGGATTGGTGAGCAGCTGAACGTGGTGGAGAAGGATTGGTGAGCAGCTGAACGTGGTGGAGAAGGATTGGTGAGCAGCTGAACGTGGTGGAGAAGGATTGGTGAGCAGCTGAACGTGGTGGAGAAGGATTGGTGAGCAGCTGAACGTGGTGGAGAAGGATTGGTGAGCAGCTGAACGTGGTGGAGAAGGATTGGTGAGCAGCTGAACGTGGTGGAGAAGGATTGGTGAGCAGCTGAACGTGGTGGAGAAGGATTGGTGAGCAGCTGAACGTGGTGGAGAAGGATTGGTGAGCAGCTGAACGTGGTGGAGAAGGATTGGTGAGCAGCTGAACGTGGTGGAGAAGGATTGGTGAGCAGCTGAACGTGGTGGAGAAGGATTGGTGAGCAGCTGAACGTGGTGGAGAAGGATTGGTGAGCAGCTGAACGTGGTGGAGAAGGATTGGTGAGCAGCTGAACGTGGTGGAGAAGGATTGGTGAGCAGCTGAACGTGGTGGAGAAGGATTGGTGAGCAGCTGAACGTGGTGGAGAAGGATTGGTGAGCAGCTGAACGTGGTGGAGAAGGATTGGTGAGCAGCTGAACGTGGTGGAGAAGGATTGGTGAGCAGCTGAACGTGGTGGAGAAGGATTGGTGAGCAGCTGAACGTGGTGGAGAAGGATTGGTGAGCAGCTGAACGTGGTGGAGAAGGATTGGTGAGCAGCTGAACGTGGTGGAGAAGGATTGGTGAGCAGCTGAACGTGGTGGAGAAGCAGGATGAGCCGCACTCTCCCTCAGCTTCTCCCCATTCTCGTGGTTCTGATTTTATTGACATACATTCTGCTTCTGTTTGCGGATTCTGTTCTTCTGATTTTAACGTTTTGCTGTGGCTGCAGGGAGATGGACGTGGCAGAGGCGAGAGACCAGCTGAGTGTGGTGGAGGAGCAGGATGCTAATCACTTTTGAGAATTCTCAAAAGATGCAAATCACTTCCCTTCCCTTTTTGTATCCAGCAGCCCTTTTCACCCTGTCGTTTCATCCCCTTCTCTCCCCGCCTCCTCCCTCTCTGGCTGGATCATCGCAGGGAGATGGACGTGGCAGAGGCGCGTGACCAGCTGAGCGTGGTGGAGGAGCAGGATGCGATAGTGAGGAAGAACCTGCGCAAGGCAGAGGAGGAGGTGAGGGCCCTGTGCTTGGTTCGTAATTCGTGATGTTCTGGTGAGGCCCCTTTGAAGCTAGGTCGCTTGATCAGGATGCAGTAGTGAGGAAGAACCTGCGCAAGGCAGAGGAGGAGGAGAGAGCCCTTTGGTAGCAGTGAGACCCGTACGCTTGCTGGCGATACACTGGGCAGAAGCGTTTCTCCCTGTGTAATATGTTTGCTGTCAATACACTGGTGCAGCATGGTCGAGACGGTGAGCGCCATGGGGGGGAGAGGGGGGTGAAAATTGGGTGGCTCTTTTCCTCCCCACAACAGCTGAACGTGCTGCTTGACGAGTGTACAGCGATGCAGTGGGGTGAACCGCATACCCACTCCTCTTTCCATCATCCCCCACTTCTTCCCCCTTTTTCTCTTCTCAGAACAGCATGCCGTGCTGGTGGGCAAACGTGGGGGAATGCAGCTGGTTGCACATGCACCCACATTCCTCTTCTCCAACACTCTAATTCTAACCCAACATGTACCCACTCTTCCTTCTTTCCTTCCTTCCCACCACAGCTAGATGTATTGGTGGACGAGTGTGCGGAGATGAGGCGCCTGCTGCTGATGGACACCCAACCCTCAGGTTCCAACCCAACATGTACCCTCTCCTTTCCTTCCTCCCCACCACAGCTAGACGTATTGGTGGACGAGTGTGCGGAGATGAGGCGCCTGCTGCGGCTGACAGTGCAAGCATTTGACTACCACAAGGACTCCATTCTGCACCTGCCAGGGGTGAGTGCTGCCTGCCACCTTCAGTATTGTCACACTTGGTATAATCACCATTCACTGTCACACTCGGTATGGGCACATCACTGTCATTGTCTCGCCTGCTGCGGCTGATAGACAGTGCAAGCATGTGACTACCACAAGGACTCCATCCTGCACCTCCCCGGGGTGAGCAGTACCGCCCCCACTATTGATGCACTCGGTTACTCACATTTACTACTGTCACACTTCGAAACAGTCACACTGGACTTGAGCTGCCATCCGCCTGCTGTGGCTGACCAACAGTGCACGTGCTTGACTACCACAAGGTCTCCATTCTGTACCTGCCAGGGGTGAGTGTTATTCAGTACTGTCACACTTGGTTAGTCACACTCAGTACTAGTGCACTCAGAATAGTCACACGGAAGCTGTCATCGTGCGTACTGCAGCTTAAGGACAGAGCAGGCGTTTGACTACCACAAGGATTCCATTCTGCACCTGCTGGGGGTGAGTGGTGCCGCTCTCACTGTTGTTGCCTTCGGTTCAGTCACATTCAGTACGCTCACTCTCATAACAGTCACGTGGAAGCTGTATTCCTGCCAGCTGTGGCTGACTGACACTGCAGGCGTTTGACTATCACAAGGACCCCATACTGTACCTGCCTGCCATGTGCGCATGGTCCTCCAGGATTTTCAGCATGATTCTTATTGCTGTACTGGCTTTCATGTCCCGTGTACACCTCATCCATCCTTATGATCGTACTCGCATACAGATAGCACATATTTTGTACTACCTCACGCGTATCCTTATCACCTCATTGGCTTTGCATGCCTGGCTGTAGGGCTGTGATGGCTCATGCTTTCTCCCTCTCCCTCTACACTCTCCCACTCCCTCTCTCCCTATCCCTGGCTCGCCCTGACTCCTTCCACACTCGACTGATCACTCATCAAATGCAGCAAAGTCTTGCTTGTAACCATCACCCTCCTATTTCCCACTTGCCTCTAGCTGTGGCCCACTCTTCATCCCCATCTCCCCATGTCGCTCTCCCCATGTTGCTCTCCCCATGTCGCTCTCCCTATACTCCACACATCACCATCAGATGAAGAACCTGTCAGCTGAGCTCTTGACAGCAGCGGCAGAGTTTGAGGATGAGGAGCGGACTGATGGGGATGACAGTGTTGCAGGAGGCAGCTGAAAGGCAGATACAGCTGACCATGCCTTCACCAATTTGCCAGGGAGGAATTTGAATCAGATGTTTTGTGCAGCTTCCTAGGGTAATAGCCAGATGTAGGTGTACAAGGAAAATGTGAACTTGTAAGGATGCCAATTTTATTGCGCCGCTAGACATACTGAGACTGCTTCAACTGAGTAACATAGACGCTAAATTCACCAGCTGAAATGGAGCTTGGGAATGCATTGCATCATCAGACCTGCCAGTTCTCGAATACTAAACGCGACGCGACGGCGATCTGTTCTCTTAGGAAGGTCATCAACGACCATAGTTCCAGTGATGATGGTGATGGTCATCACATGGCGATGATATCATCCCTAGGCTTGGAGGAATCGGGTTGTGTTTTCTTTCCCTACCTTCGGTGAGGAGCGTTGCGTGCCCCCATAAACAAGCGATTCCAGCAGTGCTGCAGTCAGTCACAATCAATCCATGCGTGCGAACTACTTCTCGTCTTCCAACTTATTTTAATCCTTCAGTCCCAGACAGACGGTGTCGGTTCATATTCCGGTCAAAATTCTTCCTCTTTTAAATCTGCTAGTCGACTGGAGACGTTCTTCCACCTCAGCGCAGCAGCATGATGCCATCAAGTGTTTCACACGCATGTAGACTTGCTAGACCACCCAATTCCATGCTCTCACCTCTTTCACACAAAGCGGAGCTCAACTGCAGCGCATTGGGAAGCAGTGTTGATTGTTCTTTCAGGATCAGGGGAGAGTGTTCTGAACGAGTACCAGGAAAACGAGTATCATGTTCCATGCGTGCTCAGAAAACTTTATGCGACAGTATAGTTTCTGCAGAGTATGATCTCCCTGCAAATCACGGCACGCTTGTTGAAATTTTCTGGGACTGCGAGAATCTGTCGGTCCCACATGGCGCATCTCCCTCACAGCTTGTTGGCGAATTGAAGACCTTCGCAGCTACTTTCGGACATCTGTCGCGGTCTAGAGCGTACGGGAAGTTAGCAGCCTTCACGAAAAAGGGCGAGATTTGGAGCAGCGGTATTGAGATCGTGGTGGTCCCACCTGGAATCGACATAGCCGACAACGCCATGCTCGTGGATGTGCGCGGTTCCTTGTTTCCCTTGCCAATTCAGACGAGAGTGAAGGGAAGCTATATCTTGGTTCAGTAAGTGGTTAGCTCCTTGTTTTACCTTCTTCACACTTGTTCACTAATTCTCACACCACTGGACCCTAATTTCAGGAGGCTTGTTGACCTTCCTTTTGTGGTCATCGTTTCTGGTGACACGGGGCTGTTCCCGTCAATCAGCAATTTCCTTCGCATGGGAGTGAAAGTCGTACTCTTTTTCTCCATTGGCACAAAACGGGATGAGTTGCGGAAGGAGAAATGGTTTTCCATTTTGAAGGAGTATGGACTTTCAATGCAGGACTGTGAGGTGGATGCATCCACAGTCATCATGTGTGGGATTGTACCCCATCATCCTGACGAGCCGTTCGAGCCTCCCGAGCCTGATCCTAACCGCTCTGATACCATGTCAGAATGAAGAATGGATGGTGCATTGATGTTGGTTGGGGTACATATAGCTAACCCTAAGTTTTGTACCCCCTAAGACAAACCTCACTATAGGCTACAACATTTGACAATTCGTGCTGGGATTGGCTAACCCCAACACACCATCATCCATGGCATCTCTAACCATTCAATCAACACAGAAAGACTTCAAACCTTTTCACCAGCAGCATGACACAGAGGCATAAGCAGGGCCTTCTTCCTCTTTTTTTGCCTATCCAAGACTCATGTGCCAGTGCAGTGCAAGGTTGCACAAGAGCACTAAAGCAACTGTTATGGTGGGTACTGGGTGGAGATAGTACAATGAGCAAGGACTGGGATGGATCTGGTGTATTTCTGTCACGACAATTTCTTGGTGGAGCAGTGTAATCTGCCCATGTTTATTATGAGAAGGGCGAAGTATGGCTGGCAGGCAGCTACCGGTTGGGAACATGATTGACCCTACAGGAAGCCTGGGCAACAAATTACAGTGATACAGGCCACACAGATCCAAACACTAAAGCCGATGCTAGTAAACCTGGATAGCCATTTCTACACTAGTTTTGATGCTAATAAACTGTACACATCTTCATTTGAGCTCCAGCCTCTAGCTGCTCCCTTGATCTGCTCGGGCAGCTTCTCCTCCCAGACAACATAGTCAGGGGGCGGACCAGTCAGTGCAAAAATGTTTCGATCAGACCCACTGGTGCAGTAAAGCAGCACCTGCCCGTCGAAAACTTTCCTCATAGCCTCAATCACCTCGGCACATCGCCTCACACCAGGATCACTCCTGGCTGCTGCTGCTATGGCTGCCGCTCGATCCCCCTCCTTTGCTTCTGGTTTGGCAGACTGGCTTTGCGCGAAGCTCTCCAGGTATTCGCCGAAGCTGCCGCTAGGCCCTCCACAGTTGATCAGCACCCGGCCTCCAGGGCTCAGGTGGTTCTTCAGGTGCCGCCAGGTGGCTTCGTCTGCTAATTGAAGGAGGGCAGCGCCACCTGAGAAGAGATCCACAATGATGCCACTGAACCGCTGCTGCCCAGCTGTAGCACTGCCTGCTGTAGCATCATCTACAGTGTTTCCTGTAGCACCATCTACAGTAACATTTTCCGTGGAGGAACTGGTGCCTTGTACAGGGACAGGAGCTGCTACAAGAGCATCGCCTACAGTCACATGCAGGTAGCCCCCCTGAGGCGAGGGTTTCTCCAATGAGGCGAGGGAGAAGAAACGACGAGCCATATCCACCACCTGAAGGGCAGGGGAAGGAGGAAGCAGGGTGAGTGGTACGAATTTTGAAGTCAACTCAGAAGTCTGCTCGAAGGAGGTGAGGGAGAAGAAACAACGAGTCATATCCACCACCTGAAGGGCAGGGGAAGGAGGAAGCAGGGTGAGTGGTACGACTTTTGAAGTCAACTCAGAAGTCTGCTCGAAGGAGGTGAGGGAGAAGAAACGACGAGCCATGTCCACCACCTGAAGGGCAGGGGAAGAAGGAAGCATGGTGAGTGGTACGACTTTTGAGTCAACTCAGAAGTCTGCTCGAAGGAGGTGAGGGAGAAGAAACGACGAGCCATGTCCACCACCTGAAGGGCAGGGGAAGAAGGAAGCATGATGAGTGGTACGACTTTTGAGTAAACTCAGAAGTCTGCTCGAAGGAGGTGAGGGAGAAGAAACGACGAGCCATGTCCACCACCTGAAGGGCAGGGGAAGAAGGAAGCATGGTGAGTGGTACGACTTTTGAGTAAACTCAGAAGTCTGCTCGAAGGAGGTGAGGGAGAAGAAACGACGAGCCATGTACACCACCTGAAGGGCAGGGGAAGAAGGAAGCATGGTGAGTGGTACGACTTTTGAGTCAACTCAGAAGTCTGCTCGAAGGAGGTGAGGGAGAAGAAACGACGAGCCATGTCCACCACCTGAAGGGCAGGGGAAGAAGGAAGCATGGTGAGTGGTACGACTTTTGAGTAAACTCAGAAGTCTGCTCGAAGGAGGTGAGGGAGAAGAAACGACGAGCCATGTCCACCACCTGAAGGGCAGGGGAAGAAGGAAGCATGGTGAGTGGTACGACTTTTGAGTAAACTCAGAAGTCTGCTCAAAAGAGGTGAGGGAGAAGAAACAATGAGCCATGTCCACCACCTGATGGGCAGGGGAAGGAGGAAGCAGGGTGAGTGGTGTGACCTTCAGAATGACTCAATAGTCGGCTCCAACTAGGCGAGATAGAAGAGGAGACGAGCCATGTCCACCACCTACTGGGCAGGGGATGGAAGGAGTATGCTGAGTGATGTAATGAGAGGGTGCATATGTGTGTATATGTGTGAGTGAGAGGGAGGAAACGAGAATGGTAGTCCACTCACGGTTATCACTCAGCTGAATCACTCGCCACTTAATTGATCTCCCGCGCCTGCATGCCAACAGCCAACCCTTCTGTTCTTATAACGAGTACCACGGAGCCCCATGCCAGCCCCAGCAGAAACCTTCACCAACCCCTTTCCCCCCCCTTTAGTAGTAGAATCGCTCTCCCTGCACGCACTCACTCACCACCTGCTCTTTCCCCCACACACCCCTGCGCGCCAACTGCCAGCACTACGCTTCCCCATCCCAAGCCATGGTGTCAATCTCCGCACACCTGCATGCTAACTATCAACCACTCTGCCCCCACACTCCCACACCCCTGCACGCCAACTGCCAGCACGACGCTTCCCCATCCCAAGCCATGGAGTCAATCGCTGAGGCACATGAACAAACCTCTGCACGCATTCACAGTTATGCCTCCCATTCACCAACCACTCGCCACTCGGCCGATCTCCCATGCCTGCACGCCGACCTCCGACCACTGTGCATGCTCTGCTCCCACGATTCAAGCCACAAAACAATTCCCAAGGCACCTCACTGATTTCGTGTACGGTGTACCTACGCACTCACCACTAGGTCGATTTCCCATGCCTGCACGCCAACCTCCGGCCACTGTGTTCGTATAATGCGAGCCACGGAGCCCCCTGCCAGCCCCAGCAGCGCCACTGGCCCGGGCAGGCGCGCGTTTTCGCCAGAGCCAAGCTCGTGTGACAATAACGGGGCCAGCGACGCCAGGTTGTCCCAGTAGGACCGCGTCCAGATGGTTCGCCTGAGGAGGGGTTTGGGTGGGGATGGGTAGGGAGAGGTGGATGGAAGGAAAGCCAAGGGGTGAGAGGGGAGACTTCAGCGAAACAGAGGGGTGAGGTTCGGTGAGGATGGTATATTAAAAGCAGAAAATGGGAACTAAATGGTACCGCGAGAAAGGTGTGGAAGCGGGGAAGTCGGAAACCCTAAACCACAATGCTGAATCCCGGAACCTGATTGGCAATTTCGTTTCACAGCCTGGCACGCACTTGTTGTAAAGGCTCGACACGTTGCTCGAGTCGTCCAATAGCATGACCCGCGATCCGGCCAGCACTAAAGAAGGGTCGTTGGCGTCGTTGCTCCCTCCCACACCCCCTTTCTCCTGCTGCTCCCTCTCCTCCGCCGCTTTTCCCGGCTGTATTTCCGCGAACTCTAGAATCGTGATCCGAGAGTATATCGTCTGCATGCATGCAAGCACGCGTAACCTTCCCGTCTCGGTATCCAGCCAATCCCCGCTTGCCACGTCATCTTCGTCTGACTCCGCATCCTCCGGTACGCCTCCTTCGTGTTCTTCCGCGACTGAGGCTCTAATGCGGGGTGTGTCTCGTGACGTCCGCGTTACAAGGTTCGAACGTGGCCTGCCACTTAACGAGATTGACCTTGGAAAGAGGGACGAAAGTGGGCAATGTCCAAAAGCCGTAACCCCCAGATGCCATGTAAGACGTTTCCTGGCCAGGCATTGTGTGACTACACCCTGTCGCGGTGGAGCGACACGTGGCAATGCAGCTCCTGTGTGAGTGGCGATGACGGGTGACGATGCGCAAGAAGCCATATCCAGAACATGCACTATGGGGCAACGGACAAGTGAGCGACGCGGGTCATGGCTGGTTGCCGTTCCTGCTGCCTCCCACAGCTCGACCGTTGTTGTGACCGTGATTTCTACTTGAGACAACGTGACTTTTTTCTACTTGGTAAATCATTGCATACACCGAAACAACGTTTCGAGACTGTCAATATCGAAGTATCCTTGAAAGCCCCAACATCTCTGTGTACACGTCACACAAACCCCATCCAGAAAGGGGTTTGACCTGTTCGTCCGATCCTTTGATGCATAATCTCAGCCATTCAGTCCCTCTTGCCCTAACCATTTAGTCACTGTCTGTCCAGCGTGGCAAAAGCAGAACCATTTGACCCGTCCGAGAAGGGGAGGGCTAGATTTTTCCTCAGTACTGGCTGCGGAGATACCTTCGCGAGAATTTCGGGGCTGAGGACCGCGCTGATTGGACAAGGCTTTGCAAGTCACTCGTCCCAATGCTTTGCACCGCTGTCAGTCAGGCAAAACATCTTGCGGGATTACACGACTCGACACCTCTCGACGACACCGCTTTCCCACGCCACCAACCAAACCACCCTCCACCAACCAAGGTATGGATGCGAAGGAATCACATCCACATCCACTGCCACATGCACATCAATGATTCCCTTGGATTCGAGGGAATGCATTCGTTGCATCAACCCCTCTCACTCACCTCATTCCGCCCCCTATGCCTGTCCGTCTTCCTCATCTTGCTCCAACGTCGCTTTGTTGAAATTCACGGGAAAGTGCATTCAGCGGAACAACCGAGGAATCTCCTTACGGCGTCGTGTAGGACCCGACGAAGCTCGTTCTTGCATTTCACAGGCATAGTCATGTTCAGATTCTGCGAGGCCGTGTACAACTGAGTTGATCGTTTTGTTCCGAATTCGAAAGACTCGCTTCCAAGTTCAGCGATCATGAGACCAGACGAAGAAGAGACTACCCGCTCGACGATGGTGTCCATACGGCTCATATCGGCGCACAACCTACACAGAGCGAAGGTCTTCAAGCGCATGAGTCCCTGCGCTGTCGTGTCAGCATACGGCGATGCTCGCTCCAGCCAGTTCCTACCTCCCGTAAAACACGGTCACGCGAATCCCGTCTGGGACACCCTTCTAGAGTTCTCCGTACCTGACCATCTTTTACGCTTAGACGATCCTGCAGACTCAAATTCACAGGATAGCAACCTTGCAAAACCGTTCCCGCATATCATTGTCAAGATCTACGCGTCAGCATCGTTGAGAACGTCGTTAGGTCGCGCTACGATACCGTTAGAGCTGGCGATTCGACAATACGACCAAACTCATGTCCATTTTTTTCCTTTGGTGCGGAAATTCATCATCGGAGAAAGCGCGTGCGGAGCGATACAAGTGGAGGTGAAGGTCGGACGGACAAGCTTCGCCCCGAGGAAAGGCACGGCGGCTTACACCGCGTTCGTGCGGACACGTTCGCCCTTCTGTTACAGTCCCTACAGAGCGCTCGATACGCTATCTGCGGCGAGAGCCACGCGGAGATTGCCGACGACGCCGTGCTGCGCGGAAGCCACGTGTTGCTGTCCAGGTCACTGGAACGGGAAGCTTACCAGAGATTTCCCAAGAACGATAGTGGTGGAAAATCCTGATGGTTCGATTCAGGGATTTGGATTCAGAGTATCGTGAGTAATTCTGCGTGTTTCTGGAACATTTTTTTTGCGTGTGCTTTCATGCATGTTATGCTGCTTTGTGAAATGCATGTTTTCGCAATGGCCTTATTTAAGGCCTCGTGGTTTGTAACAGTTGCGAGTTCATTTCAGTGTATGTAACGACCACCTTGGAGATTGTTTTTTGTGCTTTGAACACGTAAGTTGGAACCATTGAAAGGACACACTTTAGCATCCAATCAGCAGCTTTAAGAAACACGAAAGTGGTTCCAAGTCATTTGCTCCTTTCCCTGCAGCTCCTGGCTCCCCTCTTACTATTTCACACCTTTAACGACCGTGCCAAGCCACTGTACAAAGATTCCCACTCCCTTCTCCCAGTCCTTTACTCGTCATATCCAATATTTTTCGTTATACAACCTCAGTTCCCCTCCCGCTGGGTTCCGCTCCCTCTCGGTTCCCCCCCCTCTGGGTTCCCCTCCCGCTGGGTTCCGCTCCCTCTCGGTTCCCCCCCCTCTGGGTTCCCCTCCCGCTGGGTTCCGCTCCCTCTCGGTTCCCCTCCCTCTGGGTTCCCCTCCCGCTGGGTTCCGCTCCCTCTCGGTTGCCCTCCCTCTGGGTTCCCCTCCATCTGGGTTCCCCTCCCTCTGGATTCCCCTCCCTCTGGGTTCCCCTCCCTCTGGGTTCCCCTTCCTCTAGTCTTCCCTCCCCCCTGGGTTCCTCTCCTCGCCCTCTGGGGTTTCTTTCGTCTCCCAAAGACCTTTGGGTTCCTCTCCTCTCGCTCTGGGTTCATCTCCTCTCTCTTCAGGTCGTCACCTCGCCCTCTGGGTTCCTTTCCTCTCTCTCTGGTTTCCTCTCCTCTCACCCTGGTTTCCTCTCCTCGCCCTCTGGTTTCCTCTCCTTTCGCTCTGGGTTCCTCTCCTCTCGCTCTGGGTTCCTCTCCTCTCGCTCTGGGTTCCTCTCCTCTCGCTCTGGGTTCCTCTCTCTCACCCCCCTCTGGGGTCCTCTCCCCGCCGTATTTGTTCCTCTTCTCGCCATCTGGGTTTGCTCCTCTTCCTCCCAGGTTCCTCTCCTCTCCTCCCGGGTTCCTCTCCTCTCCCTCTGGGTTCCCCTTCTCTATTCTGCCAGAGTCTTTCCATTGTCAACATTAAGGCCATGAAAAATCCTTTCCTCCATGTTTTCTCAATCTCCTTCGTTCCCTCTCGTTTCACTCGCTCATCCCATCATCTTACAATTCCCTCAACTATTTTCTTGATGACTTCCGTCGGCTTGCTCACTTCCTTCACCACATTTACATCTTCTCTCTCGTATAGTGCACTGGTTACTCCAAGGACCAAACACAAGTTAGGTAAGGTACCAGCTAAACTACTCTCGGTCTCTCTCTCTCTCTCTCCCCTCACTCTCCCCACCCTTCTCCTCCTCTCTCCTCTCTCCCCCCCTGCTCTCTCTCTCTCTCCCCCCCCCCTCTCTCTCTCTCTCTCTCTCTCTCTCCCTCTCTCTCTCTCTCTCTCCCTCTCTCTCTCTCTCTCTCTCTCTCTCTCTCTCTCTCTCTCTCTCTCTCTCTCTCTCTCTCTCTCTCTCTCTCTCTCTCTCTCTCTCTCTCTCTCTCTCTCTCTCTCCCCCTCTCCAAGAACGCTCCCCTCAGTCATCTATCTCCTTCCCTACCATCCATTTCTTCTACTTCTTGCCTTTCATCCTCCACTGGTCACCCTGCACACTCAACGCTCACCTCTGACTTACATCATCAGTCTCTACGTCGTCTACATGGAGGTTTCAAATCGAATTCTTGATTCTCATATGAGGCAGCATGTATCTTACACAGCTCAAAACTATCTGAAATGGGTTGAAAAAATAAGTGGGAAGGCCTTGGTTGGTATACGGATTCTGACATCACCTCAAGATTCATTTGCTATGTGATACCCTAAGACGAAATGGCAAGCACCATACCCGTACCATAATATTTTTTTATTATATATGGAAAGATTTTTAATTTCACTGCATTGCAGATTATGCTTGGCTAATGTGGTGTGTGTGACAATTCAGACGAAATTACGATCCGAAAAAGGGATAGCTCGAAATCCACTTTTACACTTGTGATAGAATGGATGTCTGTTTGTGATGGGTTTCGTGTACGCTATAGAAAACGTTTCGTGACTGCAACAAGTATTTCTTGTTAAACGTCAATATCGTCTCGGAGTGCCCGCTTCAACTGCAAAACACGCTTCCCAGTTTCCCAAATGATCATACCAAGGAAATCAGCAGCCGCGAGTTACTCCTGTTGTGCAATCACGTTCGACCTAGCTTTTGCGTGGCGTTCGATTATTGCATTAGAGGCAGCGAGGTCGCCTTCTCGTTTCAGGCACTAGCTCTCCTATCCTAGCTGCTAACTGTGTGTGAGGTAGCTGTGCCGTGCCTCGTGAGCCGTCTTCCCTCCACGAAACACAGAACTCGTGAGAACGTCTTTCGTATTGATTGGGAATCTATCAACGAAATCTGAAGGGAGGGTAGATTCACGACGATCTCTTGGAAGGACATCTTCAAGAGAGATATACCTGCGTTTTGATACGTCTGGAAAAAGATATCTCAGGAGACATCTTCAAGAAGATATACCTGCGTTTTGATACGGCTGGAAAAATATATCTCACGAGACATCTTCAAGAAAGATAAAGCGCGATGAATCGGCGCAATGTGAGTTTGAGTTTTTGCTCTTTGCCTTTCCTTACCTCTCCCTCGTCGCTCTCCTTTCGGCTCCGAAGCAGTTGTGCGAACGACCTATGCGACTCGCTTGCACCATCCCATCAGCAATCCCTAGTTTCACCCTCCGTAATTTTTTAAGAAAGCAGCATGCTGCGCGCTGGGTTCTCCGTGCGTGGGCGTAGTTGCTGCGGCTGCTGATCTAAGACTCGAGTGTAAAGGCGACCTAGGTATTCACAATAATTGCGAGTGACAACAGATGTCGTGTACACGAGATTTTATAAATTAGTCCAGTGTTGAGTCGGCTTAAACAATTTGGTTAGGACCTTCGCGCCCGACTCATGGTCTCAAGACACCCAACGTTGGCTCTCGAAAGACGAAGTGGTTGGATTTCTTGCACCTCTCCCCAACCCATTCAACCACTCTCCCCATAGTTGTCCCCCTTTTCTCACCACCCTCACTCTATTTATCTCCCCCCCAGGTCCGACTACCGCCCGAAGTTAACAGAGCCATATACGTGCGGTGAGTGTAGTGAGTGGTGTGTGTAAGGTTGTGTGAAGGAGTGTGTGGGGTAGTGTGGGAGGGAGTGTATGAAGAAGTGTGGGAGGAATTGTGCGAGGGAGTGTATGAGGGAGTGTGAAAGGAGTGTATGAGGGAGTGTGAAAGGAGTGTATGAGGGAGTGTGTGAGGGAGTGTGAGTGGCCAGTTGACAGCAACCATGTGGCCAGTTCTTGCAATTTCGCACTCTCTGGAGCCTTACCCCTGCCTCACCTCTCGTCACTCCTTCCTCCTCTTCCCCGTTCCCCTCCCCACCTTGCTTCGTTCTTGTCCTTCTCGCTTACAAGAACCGCCTCTCACCTCCATATGCTGTCTCTCCTTGCTTCCTCACACCTCTTCGTCGTTCTGTACCGCTTCCTGCCCCTCTCTGCCCCACTTTACCGCTCTCTGCACCTCTCTACCCCTCATTTGTCCCGCTCTCGTCTCACAGCATCTCTTTCTTCTTACCATGGCCACGTCCCTCTCCACCACTCTACACCACTAACTGCCCCTCCTAATAGCAACCTACCGTTCAACATCACATCAGAGGAAATGTACGGTATCTTAATGTATCCTTGCCTCTCTCTGCACTACCCCTTTATACCACTGATGCCCTTCTCAACAGCAACCTACCGTTCAACATCACATCGGAGGAGATGTACGACATCTTTGGCAAATACGGCGCCATCAGACAAATACGCATGTGAGTCTCTGCTGGGGCTCTCTATTTGCACAGTCCACCTGCACACTCCACCTGCACAACGGCGTTCGTGGTGTCCATCTGCTTGGCGTTGTAAAGCCAAGGATCGGCTTTTGTGGTGTTTGAGGACAAATACGACGCCAAGAATGCCCCGGAGCATCCTGTTTGCAACCTCTGCTTCTCCTGCCTTTTTCCTTGTGCCCTTTTCCAGCGGAGTAACCAAGGAGGCACGAGGAACAGCTTTCCTAGTGTATGAGGACATATACGCCGCCAAGAGCGCCGTGGTGCATCCTACATCTGCCTTCTGTCTTTCCCGTCCTCTTTTTCTGTCTCTCATTTCTCTTCCAGTGGAGTAACGAAAGAAACACGCGGAACAGCCTTAGTGGTGTACGAGGACATCTATGACGCCAAAAACGCGATGAACCATTCTGCTGTCCCTTTCCTATTATCTCGTCCCTCCCCTCGTATCCCATCAGTGGAGTGACAAAGGAGACACGCGGCACGGCCTTTGTGGTGTACGAGGACATATACGATGCCAAGAACGCCGTGGAGCATCTGTCAGGGTTCAACGTGGCTAATCGGTACCTCATAGTGCTCTACTACCAGCAGGCCAAGTTCACCAAAAAGATTGACCAGGTACGTAATGCGTATGCCCTGCCTGTTGTCCTGGTGACTTGTGAGGCGCTTTATCTGTCCCATCAGGCGTCTCTTCTGTCAGGGTTCAACGTGGCCAACCGGTACCTCATAGTCACTTTTGAGTCGACTCAAAAGTTACCTCATAGTCCTACTATGTGCACCGAGAAGATCGACCAGGTAGGGTCTGCTCTTCTGTCCTGCAGTCTCAGGTGCAACCGACCATCCAGAACAAGAGAAATGAGTGAGCTGGGATGGGGATGTGTTCCTACATAAGAGGCTTATCCGAACCCACTTTCGCATCGCTGCTTTACGGCGTCTGCGCATTATGTTCGACCAGCAACCAGTACAGCGGCATATTCACATGTCACTTCTGCTTCTTCTGCCTCTCGCTCCCCTTTCTGTTCCCCCCTTCTTCCACCTCCCTTCTGCTGTGTGTGGTGCTTCCTGGGATGGGTGAGCAGAAGAAGAACGAGGAGGAGCTGGATAAGATGCAGAAGAAGTATGGCGTCTCAGGGGAACAGAAATAGTGCGACTTTTGAGTTGACGCAAAAGTCAACTTTTGAGCCGACTCAGAAGCATTATGGCGTGTCGGGAGAGCAGAAATAGTGCGAGGCACATGCTGGTGCGGCTACTGTGGCGTCGTCGTGGTTATTCGTCTTCCTGGGATGGGATGGGTGAGCAGAGCGAGAACGAGGAGTTGGATAAGATGCAGAAGAAGTATGGCGTGGCGTTTCAGGGGAGCAGAAATAGCGGATGAGGAACAATATGCACATCCTGGCACGGCCGCTGTGATGCATGGCGTGTCGGGAGAGCATAAATAATGGAGGCACGCACCGTTACGGCCGCTGTGATGCTGACGCGCTGTGGTTCAACCCCTTTCTTTTTCCTGGGAGAGCAGAATAGCTGATGCAGAATAGTTTGAACATACCGGCGCGGCTACTGTGATGTAAAACAAGCATGTACAATCACAGCCACTGTGATGCGGATGTTGAAATTTTGCAGCCCAGCCGAGCCGCGACCTACTCTCGTAGGTTACCCGGTTTGGGCTCTTGACAGCGCGCCACGTAAGGCCCCCGCGACTCGTTGACACCTGGGCTACAAATAGCCCTCGTGTCAAACGTCCAGCCCCCGCAACTCGATGAGACCTTGTGTTTTTGGCGAGATGTCAAGAACAGTGGCGCCAAATTTCCGCGTCGGTGTCCGTGACATGGACGAGCCTATTCGGGTATGTTGGGTTCGTGCCACGTTTGCAGCCACGAGTGCGTTGCCGAAGCCGGGACTCACACTGACGTGCACCCTAGTGCGCACGCACGATGCTAGCTGCGAGTGTCGCAGACTTCGCATCGTCGTTGTCAGTGGTGAGTTGGACACACGCTTGCATTTTCGTGCCAGCATGTTTGTTGTTGAAAGTTCAACGTCGGCGTCCAACTCTCATCGTTGCCGACAGTGTACATGGACACACGACTTCCTGGCGAAAGATTTAACGGCATTGACGAATATGGTAACCAGCAAAAGTTTAACCGAAAATCCGAACGTCTACACCAAAAGACACGCGCCCTAAACTATTGGAAACGGATACTTGGAGACTCCTGAGACTCCTGAATATTCCGCGATTTCAGTCTTCCAATTAGGGCTCTCATGCCGTGGATAAATACTCCCAGGAGGATACATACTCGGAGCTGTAGCACACTGTGTTGTACCACATGGCGAGCCGCCGATGGCCTACTGTACTGCGGCGTGTCCCGACAAACGAGGCCACGTGAAGTCATATTTCGCCTGCCGCACTTCCTGCCAAAATGACATTTCTCAGGACCATCTGGGCGATTATCATCCAATGATTTTGGAGGCCTGGATTTTTGTGACGTCCTAGCCTAGAACCTGAGGTTCCCTAACAGCCGTCCGAAGGGTATTCGCGTCGCATGGCAAGACTCAGGAAAACTGGATGGAGAGAGAGGAGAGGGAATGGGGAGGAGAGGACTCGCGGGGGGAGAGGACGGAGAAGGAGAAGGGGGAATCCCTGGCGGTGGGGGGCGATCTCTTTTTTGGTCGCTTTCCACCCGTCGCGCGTATACGCGCGCCTATAAGCCATGATCTGACGGGAAACCCAGTGAGTTTTGCCGCCTCCTACTATCCCTGCCCCACCACCTGCCCCACCACCTGCCCCGACCTGCCCCCCCTGCCCCAGCGATCAGAGCCGATCCTGCCCCGACCCGACGCGCCTAACCTGCCCCCGGGGCCCGAACGGCACTTTCCTCGAGTCCCTGTGCAGCCTGCGGTTACGGCGAGCAGAGGGATCTACTAGGTTTGACATCCAGGTTACAATCATGTCATATTCAGTAATACCCACGTCTGCGAGACGTGACAATCACAAGCAACTCCTCACGCTCTCGCTCCCCTCCCCCTCTCCTCCCGCCGCCGCTGCTGCTGTCGCTGCTGCTGCTGCCGCTGCTGGACCTGATTTGAAGCACCCGCACCACGCCTTGGCAAAGGCGTCGGGTTGGACCCTGGACCTGATTTGAATTCACTTCGCCTCTGCTATTATCGGCCATCGGGTGGTATAGGCGTCTCTGCTGCTCACCACGGTATCATCCGCCGCTTCGCCTCCTCCGCCGTCCCTTCTCCGCTACCCCCTACTCCGCCGCCCGTTCTCCGCCGCCCCTCCTCCGCCGCCCCTTCTCCGCCGCCCTCGTTGACGAGTTCCACGCGCCCGTCATGTCGCGCCGGGGCTTCACGCCAGTTGCGGCGCCGCCAGCGGCGGGTCTCGTTGCCCTGCTGCTCGTCGCTGCGGCAGCTGGCGGAGTGCGCGGATCGGGGGGGAATGCGGTGCTACCCCGCAAGCTGGCCGCTGGCGGAAGCGGAGACAGTGCCGCGCCGGAGCTAGTCAAGGATTTCCCCCGTGCTGCTTCCGCGGAGGGGGACGGGCTTGTAGTGAAGGACTCCGCGCCTTCTTCCGCCAGTGGCGGTGAGGCGGAAGCGGAGGCGCATGTTCCGCCGCTGCAGCTGATTCTGGCGGAAGAAGGGCGCGCGGAGGGCGCAGTGTGCTTGGACGGATCGGCCCCTGGGTTCTACTATCGGAAGGGCTACAGCTCGGGACAGAACAACTGGGTGCTGTATTACGAGGTGTGACTAAAACGAAAGTTACCCTCTCCCACCCTCCGCCTGCTACCCACCGCTCCCACCCTCTGCCTCGATTGTTTGCCATCCACATCCTGCTTGTTTACCCCTGCTGCTCTCGCTTCCCATCCCTTTGTTTACCTTCCATTCCCCCTTCCGTTCCCCTTCCCCCTCCCCCTCCCCCCCCCCCCGCATTGCAGGGCGGAGCGTGGTGCGCGTCCCCGCACGCCTGCGCGCACAGGGCGCGCACGCACCTGGGATCCACGGACCACGCGCGCTCAGCGGCGGAGATGGTGGATAGGGAGACTGGCAGCATGAACGGCATGCTGAACTTCAATAAGACCGTCAACCCTGGTGAGGATCATCCATAGCTGCCACCGCTGCTGCTGCCACACCTGGATTCACAGCAGCATAGCCTCGCTGCATAGGCAGCCTGCCGTGCTTGCAGCTCTCTCCTTCCGCTGAACTCTGCTGTGGGCTGCTACGCTGTCACCACTGCTACCCTGTCACCACTGCTACGCTGTCTCCACTGCTACGCTGTCAGTTTCCCCCCCCTCTCTTGGCCCCACCACGCATCCACCCCGTTCCGTTACCCTTGCCACCAGGCCCAGGCTTCCTCAACTGCAGCGCCGTCCACTTCATCTGCCAGCTTTCCCATGCCCACACCGCTTTGCTCCCTCCCGTGCCCCCGTGCCCCCGGTCTCCGTGCCCCCGTGCCCCCGGTCTCCGTGTCCGTGTTCCCCATGTGCCCCTCCAGGCTTCTACAACTGGAACGCCGTCTATTTCATCTACTGTGATGGCGGCTCCTTCTCAGGCCATCAGGACGAGCCACTTCACTTCAATGTCAGTCGCCTGCCCCTCCCCCCTCTCCCTCTCTCCCTCTCTCCCTCTCTCCCTCTCTCCCTCTCTCCCTCTCTCCTCTCTCCCTCTCTCCCTCTCGCCCCTCCGCCCCTCCGTCCCTCCACCTCTCTACCTTTCCCTCTCGCCTTTCCCTCTCGCCTCTCCCTCTCGCCCCTCCCTCTCTCCCCTCCCTCTCTCCCCTCCCTCTCCACCCCTCCGCCTCTCCGCCACTCCGCCTCTCCCTCCCTCAATCCCCCTCAACCGATCTTCCCCTCTTCTCCTCTATTTTTTCTCCGCCTCTCCGCCTCTTCGCGTTTCTGCTTTTCCGCCTCCGCCACTCCCGTCCCGCCTCCTTGACTTTCCACTCCTTTTAGTGTTTTCTCCCCCCTGTCCCCGTTCCCCTCCCTCCTGCCCCTCTTACCCTCCCCTCTGCACCCCCTCCTTTCCCTCCTGCCCCTATCCCCCCTCCCCCATGCCCCCTCCCCCTGTCCCCCGTTCCCCTTCCCCCTGTCCCCCGTTCCCCTTCCGCCAGGGCATTCCGCTGCACGTGCGGGGAAGGAGAGTGGCGGACGTGCTGCTGGTGAAGCTGCTTGTGGAAAAAAATGGCATTCCTCTGTACGTGCCCCTTCCTCTTGCCCCCTTTCCTTCCCCTTGCCCCAGGGCATTCCGCTGCACGTGCGGGGAAAGAGAGTGGCGGATCTGCTGCTTCAGCGCCTTCTGGATAAGATGGGGCTCGCCCAAGCCGACAGGGTGAGAGGGGGGAGGACGCGAGGGTGCGAGGGTGTGAGGGTGCGAGGGTGTGAGGGTGCGAGGGTGTGAGGGTGCGAGGAGGGAGGGTGTGAGGGGGGGGAGGGTGCGAGGAGGGAGGGTGCGAGGGGGGGGGGAAGGGTAGGGGATGATGAGAAGGGGTGGAGTGGGAGTGATGAGGATGGGAGCAACTCACGTGGGGCTGTAGCAAGGCATTCACCCGAGGCTCACTGGACGCCATTCTTGCACTGAGCCTTTCTGCACTTTGGCATGGCAGGAAAGTCAACGGCTCACTGGAAGCCATTCATGGCAGGAAAGTCAACGGCTCACTGGAAGCCATTCATGGCAGGAAAGTCAACGGCTCACTGGAAGCCATTCATGGCAGGAAAGTCAACGGCTCACTGGAAGCCATTCATGGCAGGAAAGTCAACGGCTCACTGGAAGCCATTCATGGCAGGAAAGTCAACGGCTCACTGGAAGCCATTCATGGCAGGAAAGTCAACGGCTCACTGGAAGCCATTCATGGCAGGAAAGTCAACGGCTCACTGGAAGCCATTCATGGCAGGAAAGTCAACGGCTCACTGGAAGCCATTCATGGCAGGAAAGTCAACGGCTCACTGGAAGCCATTCATGGCAGGAAAGTCAACGGCTCACTGGAAGCCATTCATGGCAGGAAAGTCAACGGCTCACTGGAAGCCATTCATGGCAGGAAAGTCAACGGCTCACTGGAAGCCATTCATGGCAGGAAAGTCAACGGCTCACTGGAAGCCATTCATGGCAGGAAAGTCAACGGCTCACTGGAAGCCATTTCCTCTCTCTTCCCTTCCCTCCCCCGTATCCTCCCCTGCTTGTGTGCAATCTTGTTCCCCCGTTCCCTTCTACCCTTTTGCGTGCGATGCGATTCTCTTCCACCCTTGTTCAACTGGGCGGGCAGGTGGTGGTGGTGTTGGGGAGTTCAGCGGGAGCGGTGGCGGCGCTGCTTTCGACAGCTCTCAAAAGTGACTTGAATTTCTTCCTTGTCTCTGATTCTCTCTCTTCCACCCTTGATCAACCTTGCAGGTGGTCGTATCGGGGAGTTCAGCGGGAGGGGTGGCAGTGCTGCTGCACTGCGATCGAGTGAGGGACACTCTCACAGCCGCCTCTCCCTCCATCCACGTCCGCTGCCTTGCTGATGCCTCCATGTTCCTCGACGTGTAAGACTCCTCTTCACTCCTCTTTGCTCCTCTTTACTCCTCTTCACTCCTCTTTGCTCCTCTTTACTCCTCTTCACTCCTCTTTGCTCCTCTTTACTCATCTTAACTCCGTTTTTCTCCCTTTTCATCCCTGTTGTAACCTTTTGAGTCATGTGGAATGGGCTGGCCTGTACAAACGCATAGACTTGTGTTGACTTGTACGACCTCTATTGTCAGGAACAGACTCGTTTGACTCATGTGTATGCATGTGTGTGTGTCTCTCTTCCTCCCTCTCTCTCCCCCTCCCTCTCTCTCCCCCTCCCTCTCTCTCCCCCCTCCCTCTCTCTCCCCCTTCCTCTCTCCCCATGTGCAGTCCAGATGTCAACAACACTCGGAGGGTCGCCAACTTCTTTGCTCAAGTGAAGGACATGCATGTGAGCAAGTCAGGACATGCATGTGAGCAAGTCAGGCAGGTGATCAATGCAATCTCACCTACCCATAACTGAGGTCCGCTCCCAGTTTGGTCCGCACCCAGTTTGGTCCGCACCAGCCCGCTCACATTTCCATGGCTTCCCCGTTTCTCCTCACTTTTCCCTCCTCCCTGTTCTCTCCATTCTTTTGTCCAGAATCTGACCGCCAGCCTCCCAGAAGCGTGTGTCAAGGAGAAAGAGCCAGAGAAGCACCATGAGGTGCGCTGTGCTGCGCTGCTGCTGCCTTCCACCATCCCTCACCGTGCCATGCCATGCCGTGCCATGCCGTGCCATGCCATGCCGTGCCATGCCATGCCGTGCCATGCCATGCCATGCCGTGCCGTGCCATGCCATGCCATGCCATGCCGTGCCATGCCATGCCGTGCCATGCCATGCCGTGCCATGCCATGCCGTGCCATGCCATGCCGTGCCATGCCATGCCATGCCGTGCCGTGCCATGCCATGCCATGCCATCCCGTGCTGTGCCATGCTGTGCTGTGCCATGCCGTGCTGTGCCATGCTGTGCTGTGCCATGCCGTGCTGTGCCATGCTGTGCTGTGCCATCCCGTGCTGTGCCATGCTGTGCTGTGCCATCCCGTGCCATCTCTCATGGTCCTCTCTTCCAAGCCATGGCTATGATCCATCCATCGGTAGGACGAGGCTGGGCATGGCATGTGCCATATGCTGTGCTGAATCTGTTTTCTGAGACATAAAGAAATAGATTCGACTTGGATCCAACGGTCCTAACTCGCTCTATTCTACTCTAGGCTGAGTTGAAGCTAGTAGGGAATGAATAGGTAAGAAGTTTGTCATTCAAACCTGAGCGTACGCGTTTCTGAGAATTCTCTAAAAAAGAGATTCTCACTGAACCACCTCCCCCTCCCCCTCCTCCGCCCCCCCCCTCTCTCCAAATGCTCCCTCATCTCACCCGTTCCTGCGTCCTCCCCCCCCCCACCCTTCCTTCCGGATCGCCACTGCCATAATGCGCCCTCACTCCTCTCTCCTCGCCCTCACTCCTCTCTCCTCGCCCTCCTCACCCTCTCCACCCGCCGCCCTCCTCCTCACCGTCTCTCCGCCCTCCTCACCCTCCTCACCCTCCTCACCCTCCTCACCCTCCTCACCCTCTCTCCACCCTTCCCATCCCCTCTCTGCCCTCCTATCACCCACATCAGTGCTTCATGGCCAACCATATTCTGCAGTACGTCTCCACGCCTCTCTTCCTCATCAACAGCAACTACGACAAAGTTGCGGGTAAGCTGGCATTTTTTGAGGCGCCTCAAAAGTTGCGGTAAGCTGGCACACATGGCAAGTTACCCGCATCCTGGCGCGTTTTGACTCTACTGAGTAGTCACTGTGATAGTTGTTGATATTTCTTAACATCTTTAAAACATTCTTTTCATCTAGTACTATCACGGCAAGCACTGTTGTTAGTTAGGGCTGCCATCGTTGTTAGTCCTCTCTCATCTCTTGATCATTTCCCTGCTCTCCCTTGCACCCTCGTGTAGCGAGGGTGCTTTTGAGATGTCTCAAAAACACCCTTGCTACACTTGATCACATTGCCCTGCTCTCCCTTGCACCCTCGTGTAGCGAGGGTGCTTTTGAGATGTCTCAAAAACACCCTTGCTACACTTGATCACATTGCCCTGCTCTCCCTTGCACCCTCGTTCGTGATGTGACCTGCCGATGAGGGCCAATGGAGCACCACAGTAAGTCACCAATGAGGACCAATTGAGCTGACAGCTTCTTTTCAGTCGACCCTCAAGTCACCACAGTATAATCTACCGTTTATTTTTGTGCCGTGACGTGCAGATGAGGGCCATTGCAGTGCCGCAGGTGTTGGACTCGGGGACTTTAGCCCCCCCTGATTGCCTCAACCATGTCAGCACGTGCTCCGATGCTGAGAAACGAGTTATTGAGGGTGCGTGGGCGTGAGTGTGTGTTCGGTGACTTGAGCTGCAGATGAGTTGAGAGCCAATGCATTGCAGCACCACAGGTGTTGGATTCAGGGGCAACAATAGCCCACCCTGACTGCCTCAACCATCTCAGCACGTGCTCGGATGCCGAGAAGCAATTCATTGAGGGTGCGTGGGTGTGTGTGAGTGAGTGTGAGTGAGTGAGTGAGTGAGTGAGTGAGTGAGTGAGGTTTGGGATCGAGTGTGTGTGTGTTCAACTTTGAGAGCTCTCATACGTCTCTTTAATTGCACTTCCACAACCCCTAATCGCCTTGCCCTGCCCTCCCTGCTTACCTTGCACGTAACCTCCTTGCCCTACCTGCTTTTCCTTCATCTGCCTTGCCTCAATCTCCTCCTATCACCACTCCCTACCTAACCTTACCTCACCTTTTTCCCACCTTGTCCCAACTTGCCATACCCTGCCCCACTGTTCCTCACCTTGCTTCACCATGCACCACTCCTGGGTTTCAGACTACCGCAAGGCAGTGGCCGCAGCAGCGGAACCTCTTTTCCACTCTGACCCACCGTCAGCCACCTATTCATCACCATCTTCACCGCACTCCACACCTGCCAACGCCGTCTTCCTCTTCTCCTGCTTCCAGCACGGCTCCTTACACTCCGACACTCCGTGGACTGTGCGCACGGCAAAAGGAGTGGTGAGTTATCTGCAGGGTTCCCTGTCGTTTATCCCACATTGCTGTATCTTCTTGTAACACATGCACCGTGATGGCATGTGTGTGCGTGCGTGCGTGCGTGAGTGCGTGAGTGCGTGCGTGCGTGCGTGCGTGCGTGAGTGCGTGAGTGCGTGCATGCGTGCGTGAGTGCGTGCATGCGTGCGTGAGTGCGTGCATGCGTGCGTGAGTGCGTGAGTGCGTGCGTGCATGCGTGCGTGAGTGCGTGAGTGCGTGCGTGCATGCGTGCGTGAGTGCGTGCATGCGTGTGCAAGGATGTTCAAACAATCCGGCCTTGCATTGAATCTTTCTGTCCCATCCATGCCACTGCAGCCAATGTACGAAGCTGTGAACCGTTGGATGCAGTCCGGCAACAGCGACAAGATTGATCTCGTAGAAGGCGGATATCCCTGCAACTCGTGCGCTGGGCTGATGTTTCGCTCTTAGATATTCGGATGCCTCCTGGCCCACCCATGCACGAAGCTGTGGACCGTTGGATGCACCCAGACAACAGCGACAAGATTCATCTCATCGAGGAAGGATATCCATGCAACTCCTGCGCCATAAAGGAATAAAGCGTAATCGAATCGGAGCAACATTTTCTTCTCTTCAAGTGCATTATAGCCCGGCTGCTCTCAGCTTTGGCTGTGCAAATGCTGAATAAGGCCCACAGGTTCGAAATACGGTAAGGCCAGGTGGGGCTGGTTAGTCCTGTATTAAGTAACGTAGTATTTGGCTAGGACCATGTTTTATTACATGGTTTGATTCAAAATTGTTTTTATTCTCCTTGATATGGTTTATTTATTGTAGTGCCCAATATAGTACTACCACCATTCTCCATACGTACGCCACCATGGGCCCTTAGGAATTACCTGTTATTCTTAGGATAGATGCCCCAGGGGAGAAAACAACAGGAGATTGACATGTTTCTGTAGAGGAAGACAGCGTTGGGAAGGTGTCGAGTGCGGCGACGACAAGGCTGTGTGGAAGAGAGGAGCCACTGCTGTTGCCACTGCCCTGCAGTAGTCTGAAACCCAGGAGTGGTGGACGGTGAAGCAAGGTGGGGCAAGGTGAGGCAAGGTGGGGAAATGGGGATGAGGCAAGGCAAAGCAAGGGGGGTGGGGAAAGGCGGGTATAAGGAGTACTTGTTATGGTGTGTCGGCACTAAGAACAGCTGACAGATTTCACCTGTCCCCTCTCTCCACCCCTCCCTCCCATCAAATTCCTGCCTTTCCCCTTGGCTCCTCCTCTCTTTGGCTTTCCTGGGAGCAGAGGAAGGATGAGGAGTTGGATAAGATGCAGAAGTATGGAGCGTTGGGGGAACAGAAATAGCGCAAGGTACATACCGTAACAGTATGGTTACTGTGACGCGGCTATTCGTCTTTTTGCAAGTCATTCATGCATGGGTATCACTACATCCCTTGCCCTCCAGTTGCAACAAGTACTAGAAGCACGGCACAAGTACCATACTAGCAACACACTGTTGTTACTGACACATATACATTGAACCGTCCCACTTTGCGTTTCGCAAATTCCACTCGGCAATCTTTGTGTCCTTTTCCCTTCGAATAATACGCACGCGAACTCTTTTCTTTGTGGCTTCCTGCACTTCGAGTAAATCAGGCATTTCCTCCAATAGCAGCACAAGCCGCTTCTTCACATGAAGCCTCCTTGAAGACTTTGGGAAACCGTGGTTCATTAACAGCACGCCCAACTGCTTCCGGGTCTTGAAACTCAGCCGTTCTTCCAGCTGCTGCAGGGAAATCCAATTACTAGTAACACAGTCGGCTGGCAAGAGATCCTCCAGAGCTGTATGAACCGCAACTCTCAGCCTTGACTGGATGAGCCCAAGGGTCCTCATATTGGCTTCCGACTGGACGAGTGACATGCTGGGAGGCTTGTTCGGTTCTTCCCTGGTAAAATCCACAACACCCTTGAGCGCGGATATCAACTGATGCTGTCCTTTCAAACCGTGGTCTTTGTACCTGAACTGCTTCCCAAACACAGCATGGTATAGCTGGAGAAATCGCAGGATGTCACATGTACCGTGAGCACCAAGGATGGTAAAAAACTCGTACTTGAGCCGTGCGATTTCTGGAACATAGCTGGTAACTTGTGGGGGTGTCAAGCTTGCAGCGGTGTTCTGTGTGCTGGAGTTGGTAGGATCCAACTTTGGAGACGCTTCTGCAGATGATGACATGAGGTCAGTCCTGCTGAGCAGGAATCCACGCATAATGACTGAACCTGCTCGTACCTCACTGGAGTGCACGGACACCTTGGACTGCGTAAGAGCAGAGCGCCATCTCTCAATGTGCTCCTGCTTCCGTTTGGTGGTTAAGGAGAATAATGTGACTACTCTCACTCCCGTGCGAACCAGTGTCGTGATAAAAGGGAAGAAATCCCGATCTCGAGAAAGTATGCCCACCAAAGGAAGCTCGAAACTGCATCGGAAGCCAGGGTTGAGATACTCACGTACAGGCTTAAATATTTCAGTGGAGTGGCTGAAAAAAAAAAGGAAATCCATAAGAGCTTAAACTAAACACTTACTTGGCCTTCAAAGTGTTTTTCCGTCCAGAGTTCAGAAGGCATGCGATCTCCCTGAGCAAGAATCTTTCAGCGTCTTTCTTTATGGCGTTGTCTGCCATGTTTCTTCCAGGCGGAACTACCACGAGCTCAACATTGGAGCGCCGAATTTCCTTCTGCTCCTGGAAGGATGTGTCCTGTCCGTACGCTCTGATCAGCTGCACGTCTCCTAGACCGTCAGCAAATTTCTGGAGCTCGCAAACAATTTCTGAGGTCGACGCACGCTTTGGGACAGGAAGATTCTCGTAATCCCAGAACACACCAACAGGAGCTCGATTCGTTGCCGGGGAACTCTACGTAGAGCTCAGCTCTTTGAACGTGCTCTGAAGATCACCGGAGATGGTACCTTGTTTTTCTATAGCCTTTCCTCTGCATTGAATAGATTCAGCAAACTTACCCAGCGTTCCGCGTCCTAAAGTCGACAGCCCAGTGAGTGTTGGGAGTGAGAAATTGTTCACTCTGGTCAGCTTGAAAGCCGGAATAGCGGGATTGTACAAAGCGCGTGAGCCCATGGTGGTGGTTGCCAAAAACTCCAGAGAAACGATACCATAAGAACTCTCAAGAGGTGCGACCTAAGGAGGCTCACCAATACAGGCTTTATAGTACGGTGTGTATTTCGTTCTAGGTGGTTGAGATTAAGCACACCTACGAGTCGCGATCCCGTGATGGGAAACAAATCAAGTGCCGCTTGCATGAACGAGTGTGCATCCATGGGTGACCTGATTACATGCAAATTCGTTTATGTGAACTTCTCGTGACATTTGACCGTGGATGTCTCCAAGGCAAAGCGTAAACTGGACTGGAGTATCTCCGTAGACTGGCTGTCATCCAGGGAGGCGAAACGCCACTAATACCGCATTCCCGGTTCGGACACCATCCGAAGTTCGCCCACCTGAAGGTGTTTTGGCGCGTGGATGGTGTCCGTGTGGGGCAGGTTAAGGTTAAGGTTATATTAAGGTCGTGACCTGTTACAAACATGCATAGAGCAAGCAGGGAATATGGTCCGAGGACCAACAGCATATATGGAGTACGTCACAACACGTTATTCCCCTACCCCCGAGGGGATATCCCCCAACTGTCGTGGGAGAGCGCTCTATGATGAGAACAACATCTATGGGGGGCGGAAGGGATTGCAAAGAAGCCACGAGGCGCGGAGGGCAGGGTGGATGGAGGGGACGCCAGAGGCATCAAAACAGATGAAGCGGAGGCGGGTGGCGGTCTTGATGCGGGAGGCGGAACGTTGTTGTTTCTTAGCAGACTGAGCGGACCTTCTCCATAAAAAAATCTTGAAGGCGAGAAGAAATTGGGCGAGGATGAGTTGGAGCACTTCAAACTTGGTGGAGGACGAGTCGTGGAATTTTTTTTCACATCTTGCGTTCCAGGTTCCCTTGGCAGCTGCACCCACAAGAAGACTCCAGGGAGCGGATTGTCCAACTCTCTCACGGAGAGGAAAAAGGAGAAGCTCGTCGGGGGGCGAACAGCCAAGGTGACGGCGGGCGACCGAGCCCAGCGAGGATATAACAGCTGGAGCGATACCACAGTTGAAGAAGATGTGGGAGATGGTTTCGATGTCTCCGGATGCACAAAGGGAGCAGCGTCCCCTGTCGGCGGCAAATTGGAAGCGTGCGCCCGAAGGAAGGGTCCGAGTGTAGAGGTGAAAAAGGAGGTCTCGTTGCAAGCTGGGTTGCTCCCGAAGAAAGTCGTGGGAAAGGTTAGGAAGAAAAGGGGGAGGAGAGGATGTGAGTACGCGTGTCCAACGAAGTTCGTGGTCAAGCTGCTGCGGCGAATAGAGGAGACGACGGATAGAGGCGAGATCTGGGAAGCCATCGTGGAGAAGCTCCAAACGCGCGCCTAGCCCTGCACCTGTATGAAACGGCCCTGCTACCCAGCGATCCAGGGTGTGCACAGCCGCAACGTCCTTAATGTGAACAATGCTGGAGCCAATGGGGGTCCGATCAATGAGACGGTGTGGGAGGATCCGGAAGAAGGTCACAGAGAGAGTCCGTGGCGGGGTGAACGAGGAGACCTGCAGTGCAAGCGTAGGGGTGGAGTGAAGTTCCTGGGAGAGGATGAGCCAATCCCCAGGAGATGCCGCAGCATTGGTGGGGGCACGGAGCGCCGCCGACCATGAAGGGGGAATAGCCGCGACGAGTTCGCGTAGGACACGACGACCAGATTGAAAACGAGACGGTGGGAACTTGACAGCGAAAACCTCCGGAGAGATGGGTTCCAAGCCGTTAAACGTGGCATTGCAAATGTCGCCAAGGCGGACCTGCTGTCTAAGGAGGAACTTCTCCCGACGAATAAGGCCGAAGGGTTTTCCGTTGGGTTTGAGGATGAAGCGGTTGAAGGCTGTGGGTTCGGCGAGCAGACAGAGAGGTGACATCCGATGGGGTAGGACAGTAGGTGACAAAGACAAAAAGGCGCGGAGTTCTGCGAGCGCACGTTGGGGGATGGACGGGGACAGAACCTTAGGATGCAGAATTGCAGGGTGGGATAGGAAAGCATGGGTACCGAAAGGGAGGGCGACAGCATTCCTAGCGACCTCCTCAGAGGGGGACACCCCAAACCGTCGTAATGCGCGTTGGATGGAGAGGGCGCGGAGTTGTGTGGAAGGCGCGATGGCACCGAGACCCCCGTCTCGAGGGGAGTTGAAAAGAATTCGGCGAGGAATCAAGCGAACCGCTACACCAGATTCCTTGTAGCGGGAGGAGGACAAGAAATTGCCAACGGAGGTGTCGAGGCGAGTAAGGGTGTCAGGTGGAGCAGGCTGGAAACGGCCAGGGAAGGATAGGGTAGAGTTGAGGAAAACCGGCGCAAGGGATTTTCGGCACGTGGCGGTAGCCCGCAAGGACGCAAGTTACCTGGAGGAGCGTTGGATTCTTGCGAGGTTTGTATTCCAGGTTGTGGCGCCGGGGTTGTCTTTTTCAACGAAGAGTCCGAGGATGCGTTCAGCCTCGTTAGGAGCGCGAATGGGGATGGGCCCTGCATTCGTGAGTAACGAAGAGGAGATGTTGAAGGGGATAATGGAGCATTTGTTCCAGTTAGGAAATTCTCCAGAAGTTGAGGCGAAGGTCATGAGGTGAGAGACTGCGGAACCGAGTTCATCGTTCGACGAAAGGAAGATGGTCACATCGTCCGCGTAGCAGGCCATGAGACGGCGAGTCACAGGAGACAGGGGAAAACCTGGAAGGTGTAGGGACATGTACCGATGGAAGATCTCGATGACACAGACAAAGAGAAGGGGGGCCAGTGGGCAGCCCTGGCGAACACCAGTGTGGACAGGAAATAGCGGACCCGCAAGGCTGTTGACGGCAATGCACGTGGAGGTGTCGGAATGCATGAGGCGTACCCAGTGGACAAATGGAGGGGGTAGACCCAGGTGGGAAAGAGATTGCAGGAGAAAATCTCGGTCGACGAGGTCGTACGCTTTACGAAAGTCAATAGTGAGAGCGAGGAGGGGGGAGCGAGAATACGTAGCCCAATCCATAATGTCGACAGTATCGTTGATTGTGTCGCCAATTTTACGTCGTTTAATAAAGGCAGTCTAGGATGGGTGAATAATGTGGGGAAGCGCGCATTGAAGGCGGTTGGCGAGGCATAAGGCTAGTACCTTGTAGTCAGAGTTCATGAGCGTGATGGGACGGAGGTTTTCTACGAGTGTAGAGTCACCCTTCTTGGGAATGAGAACGGTACGACCGGAGAGCATGGACGGAGGTAGCGCGGGGGGAGGTTGTGAGTGTTAAGTTGTAATGTGTTATTTATATGTAGGTAGGCTGTAGTGGGGTAGCCAATACAGGGTACAAACCCAACTAGGGTTAGCTACTTGTACCCAACTGTTTCTTTCAATGCAGCCATTCTTGCCTAGTTCTGTTAACATGGTATTCAGAGCAGGAGGTCCCTAGGACCTACCGACCGTTTTTTTTTAAGGGCCCACCACCGCTCGCATGCGGTTACCACGCTACCCCGTGCCCTAGCCTCGTAGCGCCCTCGTGCGCCCTCGTTAGCGCCCTCGTGCGCCCTCGTTAGCGCCCTCGCGCGCCCTCGTTAGCGCCCTCGCGCGCCCTCGTTAGCGCCCTCGCGCGCCTCTCGTTAGCGCCCTCGCGCGCCCTCGCTAGCGCCCTCGCGCCCCCTTGTTAGCGCCCTCGTGCGCCTCTCGTTAGCGCCCTCGCGCGCCCCTCGCAGCGTCGCCCGCCCGCCGAGCCGCCCGCTCGCAGCGTCGCCCGCCTACCGCGCTGCCCGTTTCGCAGCCCGCCCGCCGCGCTGCCCGCTCGCAGCGTCGCCCGCCCGCCCGCTGCCCGCTTGCAGCGTCGCCCGCCCGCCCGCTGCCCGCTTCGCAGCGTCGCCCGCCCGCCGCGCTGCCCGCTCGCAGCGTCGCCCGCCCGCCTCGCTGCCCGCTTGCAGCGTCGCCCGCCCGCCCGCTGCCCGCTTCGCAGCCCGCCCGCCGCGCTGCCCGCTCGCAGCGTCGCCCGCCCGCCTCGCTGCCCGCTTGCAGCGTCGCCCGCCCGCCCGCTGCCCGCTTGCAGCGTCGCCCGCCCGCCCGCTGCCCGCTTCGCAGCCCGCCCGCCGCGCTGCCCGCTCGCCGCGTCGCCCGCCCGCCCCGCTGCCCGCTTCGCAGCCCGCCCGCCGCACTTCCCGCCTGCAGCACCGCGCTGCCCGCTTCGCAGCCCGCCCCCCGCACTGCCCGCTCGCCGCGTCGCCCGCCCGCCGCGCTTCCCGCCGAGCTACCTACCTGCAGCGCTGCGGCAGCTTCCTTTGCTCAGTCGCACTGTCGCTATGGCTTCCATCCGCGTGCTGTCGTTCGATGCTGAGGGCCGCCCTGTGAAGTTCGCCACTTGGCTGGATGACCTGCAGCTGTTCCTTCTGAGCGATAGCAAGGAGCATGTGTCGCTCTATGATTACGCGTCTGGTGCTGCACCTGCCCCTCCTGCCACAGCTGAGCTTAGTGTTCGTTCCCACTGGCAGACTCGTGACGCAGCTGCTCGCCTAGCCATTCGCAGTCACCTGCCGCTAGCTGAGCTCGAGCATTTTGGCGACTGCAAATCCGCTAAGGCCCTGTACGATGCTGTCGTTGCTCGCTACTCCTCGCCTGCCACAGCCGAGCTTAGCCGCCTCATGCTGCCGTACCTGTTCCCTGAGCTGTCCACCTTTGCTACAGTCGCCGATCTTATCACTCACCTTCGCACTAGTGATGCTCGCCTGCGTGCCGCCCTTCCCACCGAGTTCTGCGCTAAGAATCCCCCTCCACTGTACTGGACACTCCACTTCATAGTCACCCGTCTCCCTGACACCCTCAGCTCAGTTCGAGACCACTTCCTTGCTCGCTGTCCCACTGAGCTCACAGTCGCCCTCCTAGAGGAGCAGCTGCTAGCGGCCGAAAAGAGCATTGTAGCTGTCGGTGCTGCTCGTGGCGCTCCTCGCACCCCCATCTTTGAGGGGTGTTCTCCCTCTCCCCTCGCTCCCTCCTACGCTACTGCTGCTGCTGTTGACTTCCTTGGTGCTGAGTCTGCTGGCGCTGCTTCTGCTCCTGGTGGGAGGCGCCGCACCGGCAAGGGCAAGGGGGGCAAGGGTGGCGGGGGTGGCGCTGGGGGGGGAGGAGGTGGGGGAGGTGGGGGGGGAGGCGGTGCTGGAGGGAGCGGTGGCGGGAGCGCTGGTGGGAGTGGGGTCGGTGGTGGAGGCGGGGGCGGCGGAGGAAGCAGTGGCAGTAGTGGCGGCGGCGGCGGTGGCGGCGGTGGCGGTGGTGGCGGTGGTGGCGGTGGCGGTCGGAGCGGTGGTAGTGGTGGCGGCGGAGGTCGGAGTGGAGGCACTGGCTCGGGCCAGAGCTCCCAGCAGCAGCAGCGTCCCCAGACGACCCAACAGCTTCGTGAGTGGCTTGCTCAGCGTGGGACGTCGGGGGGCAGTGGCCGCTGTTCCTATGTCATTCGCACAGGTGACCGCAAGGGACAGACGTGTGGGAGGTTCCACACCCCGTACCGCTGCTTCTCCCGCCTTGACGACGCTTGGCGTGAGGAGATGGGCGAGGATGTTGAGCGCCCCCGCTGGGCTGAGCTCATGAGGGCTGGTGTTGATATCTTTGCTCTTGACTATGATGCTATTATTGTTGCCATGTATGCATTGACTGTTAGTGCCGAGGGAGACTGTTACTTGTGTGTGCCGCCTGACCCAGGTATAGAGCCCGCTGCCCTAGGTACTCGTGAGTCTGCTCTCTCTGGTATGGTGCCCCCTGTACTTGCTCCCTCCAGTGCTGTCCCGGCTGTTTGCGAGTCTGCTCTCTCAGGTACAGCACCCACAGAGACTGCTCTCTCAGGTACCGCACCGGCTGAGGCCTGTCACACCTTCACCCTTGACTCAGGTGCTTCCCGCTGTTTCTTTCGTGACAGTACTGAGCTCACACCGCTTCCTGCACCGGTCCCAGTCTCCTTGGCTGACCCCTCTGGGGGCCCAGTCCTTGCCCAGTCCACCACTGTGCTCCCTTGTCCGGCGGTTCCGTCTGGCTCGTTGTCGGGTTTCCACCTCCCCTCGTTCTCGACGAACCTGGTGAGCAACGCTGTCATCCAGGATCAGTGGGTTGACACCTTTACCCTTGGAGGACAGCGTGTGGCGATCTGCACGTGCTCCAGGACCGGCCGTCACCTGGCTACGTTTACCCGTCGGCCGGGGTCGAGTCTCTACACACTGACCACTGCGTCTCCTCAGGTTGCTGCTGTCGGTCAGGTGTCCGCGTCAGGTCTGGTGGCCCACGCCTGTGAGTGTCGTTCCCTGTCGCACCAGACTCTTCTCTGGCACCACCGCCTGGGTCACCCCTCCTTGCCACGCCTCCGTGGCATGCACCGTCGCTGCCTTGTGTCTGGTCTTCCCAGGTCCCTCCCTCCCCTCCCTGCCTCGCCTGCGCCGCCTTGCCTTCCTTGCGTCGAGGGGCGGCAGCGCGCCGCTCCTCACTCCTCCTCGTTCCCCCCGACAGAGGCTCCTCTGCAGACCCTCCACCTGGACGTGTGGGGCCCAGCCCGCGTTCGTGGCCAGGGCGGTGAGCGGTACTTTTTGCTGGTTGTCGACGACTACTCGCGTTACACCACGGTCTTCCCCTTGCGCACCAAGGGTGAGGTCCCTGCTGTTCTGATCCCTTGGATCCGCACAGTTCGTCTCCAGCTCCGCCGCCGTTTCCGGACGGATCTTCCTGTCCTGCGTCTGCACTCTGACAGAGGTGGTGAGTTTTCCTCCGATCTCTTGAGGACCTTCTGTCAGGCGGAGGGCATCGAGCAGACCTTCACGCTTCCGGACTCCCCACAGCAGAATGGGGTTGCTGAGCGTCGCATTGGCCTGGTCATGGAGGTCGCTCGTACCTCCTTGGTCCACGCGGCGGCTCCCCATTTTCTGTGGCCGTTTGCTGTCCGGTACGCCGCGCATCAGCTCAACCTCTGGCCCCGTGTCTCCTTGCCGGAGACCTCGCCCACACTGCGTTGGACGGGGGAGGTTGGCGATGCGTCGCGCTTCCGGGTGTGGGGTGCTCGTGCCCTTGTCCGCGATACGTCTGCGGACAAGCTCTCCTCCCGCACGCTTCCCTGTGTCTTCCTTGGCTTTGTCCCTGACGCGCCGGGCTGGCAGTTTTACCACCCCACCTCGCGCCGGGTCTTCGCCTCTCAGGACGTCACCTTTGACGAGTCGGTCCCTTTTTACCGTCTCTTCCCCTACCGCACTGCCCCCCTCCCTCCCCCGCCGCTTTTCCTTGCTCCTGGTCCCCCTCCGGTAGACCCCCTTCCCCCTCAGGGTCCTGCTCCTTCAGGTGTCTCTCAGGTAGACCCTCCTCCCGTCGCTGAGCCTGTCGAGGTCACAGGTGACTCAGGTGCTGCTGCAGGTGGTGCTGCTGGGAGTGCTGAGCCTGGGGGTGCTGAGCCTGCGGGTGCTGGGCCTGGGAGTGCTGGGACTGCGGGTGCTGGAGCTGAGGGTACTGTGCCTGAGAGTTCGGCGCCTGGGGGTGCTGAGCCTGGGGGTGCTACGACTGGGGGTGCTGAGCCTGCGTGTACGGAGTCTGGGGGTGCCGAGCCTGGGGGTACTGCGCCTGAGGGTACTGAGCCTGGGGGTGCTGCTACAGAGACTACGGAGCCTGGGGTTGCTGCGTCTGGGGGTGCTCTTCCTGGCGGTACTGGAGCTGCTGGAGCTGACGACGCTGGAGCTGACGGTTCTGGACACGGTGGTCCTGCTGGTTCTGGAGGTGCTGGCGAGGGGAGGTCTGACGCTGCTGGGGCCTCTGGTGCTGACGTCGCCGACTCGGGGGGTGCTGCGGCGGAGGGTGCTGGTCCAGGTGCTTCTGGTGCTCCGGGTGCTGGAGGTGCTGGCGGAGCTCCGCCGTCGCGCCTGTTCTTCGCTCCTCCGTCGCCGTCGGCTTTGCCGCCGCCTGACACGGTGCTTCGCCAGGTTCTTTCCCTCCCGTCTTCCACTGGCCTTCCCCTTCAGCCTGGCTCCCCCCTCCCTGCTCCTGTGCCTTATAAGGCGCAGCCGGACTCGCTTACGGAGCGTCGTGAGCCTGCGTCTCGTCCTGCCTCGCCGGTTCGCGCTGCTCGCACTGCTCGCACTGGTCCCACTAGCCGTCGTGTCGCGCGTCCGCGTCCTCCTCCTGTTCCTGGCACGCACATTATGGCACTTCGTCCTTCCACTGGTCCACAGCGTGTCCCCCTACCGTCTCCTCCTGCGTCTTCTCTTCCTGACGTTCCCGACCCTGAGTCTGACAGTGTTCGTGCTGCCCACCCTACTGTCACGCGTCTTCTCGCCACTGTTGTCACTGACCCGTCGTTTGAGTCTTCTGCTGCGTCTGCCCTGGTCGCTGAGCTTGTCGACTTTGCTGCTGCCTGTCGCCTCGACTACGCCGCCAGTCTTGTTGCTGAGTCTGAGTCTGTCTGTCCTCCGTCCGTCGGGGGTGAGTGTGCTCTTGGCACGGACGTCCTTGAGGACAGGCAGGAGGACTTTGACTCTCTCGCGGCTGCTGTACCTCATCTCGTGGCCTGGTTGCTTGCCCCTGAGGGAGACCCGGATGCACTAGACATCCCCACTCCGCGCACTTACGCAGAGGCGATCTCGGGTCCCTACTCCTCTCAGTGGCAGACAGCCATGGACGCAGAGATGGCATCCTGGAAGTCCACAGGCACCTACGTCGACGAGGTTCCCCCTCCTGGGGCGAACATCGTCGATGGCATGTGGATTTTCAGGGTGAAGCGGCCGCCAGGTTCTCCGCCTGTCTTCAAGGCTCGTTACGTTGCTAGAGGCTTCAGTCAGCGTCAGGGGGTCGACTTCTTCCAGACCTTCTCCCCCACCCCGAAGATGACCACTCTTCGGGTTCTGCTGCACGTTGCTGCTCAGCGTGACTACGAGCTTCACTCTCTTGACTTCAGCACAGCGTTCCTGCAGGGCAGCCTGCACGAGGAGATCTGGCTGCGCCGCCCACCTGGCTTTACTGGGTCGTTTCCCCCTGGTACCCAGTGGAGCCTCCGCCGGCCAGTCTACGGTCTCCGCCAGGCGCCACGTGAGTGGCACGACACACTGAGGACTACACTTGCGGCTCTTGGGTTCGCGCCGTCTACTGCTGACCCGTCGCTGTTTCTGCGCACAGACACGTCGCTGCCGCCGTTCTACATTCTCGTGTACGTCGACGACTTGGTCTTTGCTACTGCTGACACTGAGGCACTCGCTCGTGTGAAGTCGGAGCTGCAGAAGAGACACACCTGCACTGACCTGGGTGAACTGCGTAGCTACCTTGGCTTGCAGATCACCCGGGACAGAGCTCGCCGCACCATCACCCTGACTCAGTCACACATGGTGCAGCAGGTCCTTCAGCGCTTCGGCTTCCAGTTCTCCTCACCACATGCCACACCTCTGGCTACCAGCCACTTGCTCTCAGCTCCACCTTCGGACGAGTCCGTAGAGCCGAGTGGCCCGTACCCAGAGCTTGTAGGCTGCCTCATGTACCTGATGACTTGCACGCGACCTGACCTCGCGTACCCACTTAGCATCCTTGCTCGCTACGTTGCGCCTGGGAGACACAGGCGAGAGCACTGGGAGGCTGCTAAGAGGGTGCTGCGTTACTTGTGCAGTACATTAGGCATGGGGCTGGTGCTTGGAGGACGCGACAGAGTTGTCCTCACTGGTCACTCGGACGCTTCTTGGGTGGACGACCTGGCTACGCAGCGGTCGTCACAGGGTTACACCTTCAGCCTTGGCTCTGGTTCTGTCTCGTGGCGGTCCACCCGCTCTTCTTCTGTTCTCGGCTCTAGTTGTGAGGCTGAGATCTACGCCACAACCATGGCTGCACAGGAGTTACGCTGGCTCACCTACCTGCTGACTGACTTGGGAGAGCGGCCTAGTTCTCCTCCAGTTCTGTACGGTGACAACAAGGCGGCTCTTGCCTTGTGTCAGGAGCACAGACTGGAGCACAGGACGAAGCACATTGCTCTTCGCTACTTTCTTGCTCGAGAGCTTCAGCAGCGCGGTCAGCTTCGGCTTGTGTACGTGGACTCGAAGGCCAACACTGCTGATATCTTCACCAAGGCGCTCCCGCCTAGTGATCATCAGCGGCACTGTACTTCTTTAGGCCTTGTGTCCACGTTTCCTCACTTGCTCACTGCTTGACATTCTTTGTACTGTACTTTATATTTGTCTTGCTGCTTGTCCTGTTCTATATCTAGCACTACATGTGAACTGGCCTTGTGGCCTTTGTTTGTGCTCGGAGTGTGGTGACGTTGTGATCCACCCTGGGCTTGTTTTTGCTTTGCTGGACTGGTCTTGTGACCCTTTGCTTTCCCCCACTTTGCCTATGGGGGTGTGTTAAGTTGTAATGTGTTATTTATATGTAGGTAGGCTGTAGTGGGGTAGCCAATACAGGGTACAAACCCAACTAGGGTTAGCTACTTGTACCCAACTGTTTCTTTCAATGCAGCCATTCTTGTCTAGTTCTGTTAACAGTGAGCCTATCAATGAGTGGAAGGCTGGGGCAAACCGAGGAGTGAGAGATCGGAAGAGTTCACCAGGGAGACCATCAGGGCCAGGAGTTCTTCCACGCGATAGTTGTCCAAGAGCTTTTCCGATTTCGAAGAGGGAGAAGGGTGATTGCAAGAGACGGGCTAGCGAATCTGGCAGGGTGGAGCGAGGGATATGTCTCCAGAAAGAGGGGTTAGGGGCGACAGGCGTGGAGCCAGAGTATAAGTGTTGAAAGTAGCGGGTGCATTCTGCAGTCATTGACGGAAGATGGGAGGAGGTTTCGCCATTCGACAGAGTAAGAGACGAGATGAGCGAGGCTTTGATGCGAGCGTTGATACCGGCGAGTAACGGAGAGAGGCCCATTTCGCGATGGCCTTCAACCTTGAGCTTGGCTTCGAGGGCTAGCTCTGCGGTTTTGGAGGCCTCATATTTCATGAGTTGTAGCCGGGCTTTGCTGAGGCGGGCGTTTTCTTCCAAGCTCAGTGCGGAGCAGGCGGCTTGGGTTTGGAGGCGACCAATAAAGTGGCGTAGGTGGTCCATGGTTCCTGAGACACGGCGTCGCTCCTGGTTAGAGAAGCATTTAAGGCGGAGGGTGAGCTGCTGTTTCCAGTGGTCCCAGTCGTCTGGAGACGGCCGGGGGGGGGAGACGAAGGAGCTGCGTATCTAGGATGTGTGCCACGTGTGGGCGGCGTACCAGGGAGGAGCTGAGCCTCCACGGCCGGGGGGCCATGATGGGGTTATCAAAGCCAAGAGAGCACAGTGGGGCGAACAGGTGATCCGAGATAAGGTTAGGGGTGAGGAGGTAATGTGCTGCATGGAGGCGGGAGAGGAACGCGGTAGACACATAGATGCGGTCCAGACGAGCGGCCGGAGGGGGGGGAGGCGGAGTTACAGTGAGTCGTTGCCGGCCAGTATAGGAGAATGTCAGAATCACTAGGCAAGAATGAACGAAAGGAGAGGGGTTGAACTAGCAGGCAGTTGAGTACAAATAGCAAACCCTAGATTGGGCTGTACTCGCTATAGAGTACCCCACTGCAGGCTAGACAATAATAGCATTCTGACACACCCCCATAGCCAAAGTGGGGTGTAATCAGCAGAGCAAGCAAAGCAGTACAAGCTCAGGGTGGATCACAATGTCACCACACATTCTGAGCACAAGTTCAAGAAGCAATAGTTTAAAGTTCACAGTTATGAGCAAAGCTAGAGGCAGTCACAGAGGGCAAGCGAGGAGGAGGAGGGCTGGCGAGAGGAGAGAAGATGAAAGGCGCCGACTGAAGCTGCAGACACACGGGCAACAGGAGCGGCGCGCACAGTGGCTACCGAGCGCACGAGGGCACCGGACTACGGGAGTATCTGGCTCCGCGGCTACGACGAGCACACACAGGAGCAACGGACCCACAGGCGACTGGCGAAGCAGGCTCGCTGGGCTACCGAAACGCGCGAGGGCATCCGGACTACTGGCGCTGCTGGCGTCACGACGGCTACCTCCACGCAATCTCCCCCGACCGTCCCACGCCCCTCTCACACACCCCCTGCTGACACCCTAGCTCCACTCCGACGGTACCCCCCTTAAACCCCAAACCCTAGGCTCCCACACACCACCCCCCTCAGCGGCAGCTGTAGCAGAGGGAGACGAGGGAGGAGGAGGAGCAGGGGGAGGAACTCACAACCGACACCCCCATAGCCGCCACCCCCACACTCTTCACCCCCAAACCCTAATTTAGGAGAACGGGCTGTAGGAGGGGTGAGGCGCCGGTAGAAGCACGGGGGACAGTGGAGAGGGCAGGAGCAGCGAGGAACGGGCCGCCCACGGGCCTGGTAGAGCCGCCCGAACCGCGCGCAGGCGGCCCGAGCCGCGCGCGGGCCTGGCGCTTCCCGTACGGGCCGCGCGCGTGCCTGGCGCAGCCCGTACGGGCCGCGCGCGGGCCTGGCGCAGCCCGTACGGGCCGCGCGCGGGCCTGGCGCAGCCCGTACGGGCCGCGCGCGGGCCTGGCGCAGCCCGTACGGGCCGCGTGCCGGGTGTACGGGCCGCGCGCAGGCCACGACGGGCGACGGGGGGCGACGCGCGGGTCCCCGTCGCCCGTCGCAGCGCCTCCCGGGGGCGACGTGCCGAGTGACGGGGCAGGAACCCGCCGCGCGCCTCGGGGCACACGGCGGGCAGAGAACCGCCGCGCGCCTCGGGGCACACGGCGGGCAGAAAACCGCCGCGTGCCTCGGGGCGCACGGCGGGCTGAAAACCCTAGTTTCGACGCCGCGCGCCCCGTGGCGCGCGGCGGACAGGGAGTAGCAGTAGCAGTAGCAGTAGCAGCGGAAGGCTTAGGTGGTGGGCCCACCCACAGGATCGACCCAGGAGGGTCGACCTGCTCTGATAGCATGTCAGAATCACTAGGCAAGAATGAACGAAAGGAGAGGGGTTGAACTAGCAGGCAGTTGAGTACAAATAGCAAACCCTAGATTGGGCTGTACTCGCTATAGAGTACCCCACTGCAGGCTAGACAATAATAGCATTCTGACAGAGAAGAGGGTGGTGGTGGGGTGTAGGGCGCGGAATGAGTCAAGAAGGGAGTGGGATGACAGGAGGTTCGAGAATAAGGCGGCTTCACTCTGCTCGTGGCCATGCAGAGTGCGGTTGCGGTCCTCAGGAAGGACGACTGAGTTGAAATCGCCAGCAAGAACTGTGCATGCGGCGGCAGAGGGGGTTTCGAGAGCTGGAGTGAGGAAGCTTCGCCACCAAACGCGGCGGGTCGTGGCATGGGGGGGGGCATAGATGGCGATTAGTCGGATCTGTTCGTGCAGGAAGTTGATGTCAACAGAGAGAAGTCATCCGTCTATAGATGGGGAGGAAGACGAGAAGGAGACAGCCTTGTTAAAAGAGAGGACAGAGATGCCACCGGGGGGGGGGGGGGACGAGACCTCAACACGTTGCCAGGAGGGTAGGCGGCAATCGCATGGGCAAAAGCGTGTGGCCGAAGGCGGAGGGATAGTTTTGAGAGGTTTAGGATGAGGCGTGTGTCGATCAGGACAAGGATATCGGGTTTATTGCCTTGAGTTGAAATCCAGTTCTTTAGCGCGTTCATTTTATAGGGAGCGTTGAGGCCATCAATATTGAGACATAGTATTTTCAACTGAGCAATCATAGTAACGGAGATGAAGCCCGACATGCACCAAGGTGCACGCATCCACGGGCCGTAGGACACAATGGGGAGAGGTTGCTTGTGCTTATAACAAGGCTTAATAGGTGAGACATGAAGGGTTGCAGCCACAATGTACAGGTGTTCAGAACGAGCAAGGTATGAGCAAGGCGGCACACATGATTGAATGTACCTGGCACATATATTAGATAATCGTGAAAGTACATGGCCGGTACATTTGTGACATGATTTAGCAATAATAAGCCAAAAGCCAAGATCACATAGGCATTGTGAAATCACTCGGAGAGAAAAGCCGCAATCTGGGGGATAGCCACGAAGGTGAGGGCCCTCCAGTTGCTGTACTTTATCTTTGCAGCAGGGCCCTTGGCAGATGCGCGCAGGTTGGCGGTATGGGCCTCGGAGGCCATATGCGCCATGGCGGAGTCGAGGGCAGGGCCACAGGCGAAGTTGCAGAGGACGCAAGTCCAGGGTTCGACTTCGACGTCGAGCCCGATGTAGAGGAGGCCGGGGTCCTTGCGAAACGCATCGGGAGCAGGACGTGCCCCGAGGATTTGGCCTGGGGGAAGGGGTGCGAGGAGCGATAAGAGAGGGGCATGGGCAAGGTGGGATAAAAACAGGTAGACGAGCGCAAGGGAGAAGGGAAAATGAGACAGAGTACATCCACACCAGCAAGGCGTGGGACCAGATGGGGGGAGGTACGGCTGAAGGGAGGGGCAGGTGGGGATGGATAGGGGGGCGGGCCAGAGGGCCGGGAGCACAAAGTTTGGTTGATGAGAAGGCAAATAGAGACGGCCAACAAGTGTCACAGGGTGAGCAGGCCAGAGAGGCGAGGGAGGAGTGGGGGTAGGATTGGTTCAAGAGCCAAACGGCAGCAAGCATAGGCGAAACTGAACGTGGTGAGGATGGCGCAAGGGAGAGGAGCCAGGAGAGGGATTCAGCTATAAAAGTAGAGGTAAAGGAGTGGGTGAGACGAGATTGGCAGCGGGCAGGTCGCATCATTGGGGGATTGTGAGCGGGGGGGAAAGGGGAGGTGGGCATACCATTAGTCTGCTGCAGCTGGGCAACAGAAATCTGAACTTTGTTGTTCAGGCGCTGCTTGCGCTTGAAGGCGAATCACGCCGATGGACAGCGCCGAAGGAGCGGGCACGGTCAGAGGGGATGCGACGCAGACTTTCTTTGCCGCCGGGGGTTCATCAGCAGCGGGGGAGGGAGCGAGAGGGATGGCAGGGAGCTCGTCAAGGTGGAGCTCCTCGCCATCAAGCTGGAGCTCCTCGTCAACGAGGGTCATTTCGTCGTCCGGATTGGGGATCTGAGCGGCCATGAGAAGAGGGAGGAAGGAGTCGAGAGCGAAGTGGGGAATTTGGTGAGAAATGCCAAAGAGGCGTGCATATTTATTCACCCAATCCGAGAGGCGAGCGTCTCGGCAGATCTGAGGGCAGTCAGGGCAGGATGGCGAGGAGGAGGGGGGGAGAGCAGAGGGAGGCAGTTGGCGGTTCGTATCTGGCCTGGAGGGTCCGAGATGGTGGAGAGAAGGGCGGGGAGCACCGAGAAGAAGGTGTACGCGGTTCGGATCTGGCCTGAAAAAATTGGAATGTTGAAGGAAAATGCGGGGAGCACTGAGAAGGAGGGGTTCGCGGTTCGGATCTGGCCCGAAAAGTCCGAAATAATGGAGGGAAGAGCGGGGAAGAGTGAGCGGGAACGGGTGGCGGCTTGGATCTGGGCCTGAACGCCTGCAATGTGGGAGGGAAGAGCGGGAGAGAGCGGGGAGGCGCGGATGGCGGTTCAAATCTGGGCTAAGAAGCCCAGGACGTGGGAGGGAAGAGCGGGGAAAACAGAGAAAGGGATATTCGCGTTTCGGATCTGGCCGAAAAGGTCTGAAGTGACGAGGAGAAGAACGGGAAATGGCGAGAGGGAGTCGATTGCGGCTCGGACCTGGGCCTGAGCACCTGAAATGTGGGAGGGAATGGCGGGAGGGAGCGAGAAGGCGCCAGAGGCGGTTCAGATCTAGACTGCTAGGTCCGAAATGTGGGAGAGAAGAGCTGGGAGGGGCGGGGGGAGGCAGAAGCAGATTTACCTGCGGGCTGAGACATCCGAGACGCGGGAGCGGAGCCCGAGCGGGAGAAGTAAAATAGCTTCTAAAAGTTACTATCGTGATCGAAGCACGGTCAGACGAGCCATTCGTGAAAGCGAGGGGGCATAGGCAGCGGCCACAGCATTCCCCAGGAAAAGACCAGGAGCCTAGGCGGCAACCAGAGTCAGAGAAGTGAAAGATTCTCGATTCGGGGGAACACAAGCATAGGGAAGACATCCTCGTCTCGAGGAGAGAAGGCTGGGAAGGGGGGCGGAACGAGGGGCGGGGGCGATGCAGTGCAAGATGTGAAGGGTGGATGGGTGGCGGATGGTTCCGCGACCAGGCATCTGACAGGAGATCGGGGGGAGGGGAGAAACTATGAGTTGCAGCACTTCAGTCCACCATGATGCATGAGTTGCATGGATACGCCCCCTCAATGAGATCAATCCTGTCACTGTTGTGCATCCAGCGGCTCACTGCTTCGTATGGCTGCAGTTGGAAGGATCGAGGTGGGGGGGGGAGAGGGGGAGGGGAGGGGGGGTGGTGGGGGGGAAAGGCAAAGGCAAATCTGGTTCAACGTCCATACATACTGACACTCGCGCATACTGGCACAACAACAAACACACACACACACACACACACACACACACACACACACACACACACACACCCACCCACCCACCCACACACACACCCACACACACACACACACACACACACACACACACACACCCACCCACCCACCCACCCACACACCCACCCACCCACCCACACACACACACACACACACACACACACACACACACACACACAGACACACACACACGCGCGCCCACACACACACACACGCGCCCACACGCGCCCGCACGCACGCACGCCCGCACGCACGCACGCCCGCACGCGCACGCACGCACGCACGCACGCACGCACGCGCACGCACGCACGCACGCACGCACGCGCCCGCACGCGCCCGCACGCGCCCACGCGCACGCACGCACGCACGCACGCACGCACGCACGCACGCACGCACGCACGCACGCACGCACGCACGCACGCACGCACGCACACACACACACACACACACACACACACACACACAGACACACACACACGCACGCACGCACGCACGCACGCACGCACGCACACACACACACACACACACACACCCACCCACCCACACACACCCACGGGATGTTGGAGCCGTGCTGCCTGGGGAAGAGTTTGAAAGGCTTGGAGATGCTGCATATTCTACAACACAATGAGAAGGGAACCTTACATGCCTAGACCATCTTGTTGATACGCACCACCCCTTTTTGCCGTGCTCATCATCCACGGAACGTCCGAGTTCATGGAGATAACATCTTGTTACACGCAATCTTGCAGTTCACTCACCACCCTGCTGCTACGCACAACCCCCACTGTTACTGCATGGCACTCCTGGTACTCACCACCCCTTTTGCCGTGCGCATCATCCACGGGACGACCGAGTGGATGGAGGAAACCACCTGTTACACAAAACCCTGGTGCTAACACACCACCGTGCAGCTAACACAACACCGTGCAGCTAACACAACACCGTGCAGCTAACACAACACCCTGGTATCAACTCACCACCCCTTTGGCCGTGCGCATCATCCACGGGACGTCCGAGTGGATGGAGCCGTGCTGGAAGCAGGAGAAGAGGAAGACGGCGTTCTCAGGGGTGGAGTGCGGTGGAAAGAGAGGAGCCACTGCGTTGGCCACTGCCTTGCGATAGTCTGAAACCCAGCAGGTGAAGCAAGGTGAGGCAAGGTTGGGCAAGGTAAGGCAAGGTGGGGAAAGGACGTGAGGCAAGGCAAGGCAAGGCAGGTAAGGAAGGAGAGGTAGGGAATGAAGGAGAGGTAGGGAATGAAGGAGAGGTAGGGAATGAAGGGTGTTGCAAGGTAAGGCAAGAAGGGTAGGGCAAGGTAAAACAATGAGGGCAGGGAAACGTAAGGAGTGCAAGGCAAGGAGTGCAAGGCAAGGAGTGCAGGGAAACGTAAGGAGTGCAAGGCAAGGAGGGTAGAGCTGTGTAAGTGCAAGCGAAAGCTCTCTCAACAAAATATGAAGCTTTACACTCTCTCTCCCATCCACGAACTCACTCACTCAATCACACTCACGCACCCTCAAAGAGCCGCTGCTCAGTGACAGAGCACGTGCTGAGATCTCACTCCCCCACATCCATGAGCACACTCTCACGCACTCTCACGCACTCACACGCACTCACACGCACTCACACGCACTCACTCGCACTCACTCGCACTCACGCACTCACACGCACTCACTCACACTCACGCACTCACACGCACTCACTCACACTCACTCGCACTCACGCACTCACACGCACTCACTCACACTCGCGCACCTTCAAAGATATGCTTCTCTTTTGCAGTGCATGTGCTGAGATGATCGAAACAGTCAGGTGGGGCCGTTAGTCCCGAATCCAACACCTCTGGTGCTGTAATGGCCCTCATCTGCAGGTCAAAGCACGGACGAGAGGGCAAGTGAGAGAAATAAAATGAGAGACAAGCGGTGCTGTAAGGGCCCTCATCTGCAGGTCAAGTCTCCAACGGAAGGGCAAGCGAGAGCATGGAAATGGTCAGGAGATGAGAGAGAGAAGGCTGATTATGATTGCTATTGTTATTTTGATTACAATCTTAAGCGGAATGAGTAGAATGCTTGCCGCAACGTACCGCAACTTTGTCGTAGTTGCTGTTGACGAGGAAGAGAGGCGTGGAGACGTACTGCAGAATATGGTTGGCCATGAAGCACTGGCGTGGGTGGGAGGAGGGTGAGGAGGGCAGAGAGAGGGCGCATTATGGCAAAGGTTAAGAGCGGTGGCGTGGAGACGGCATGGCATGGGATGGTACGGCATGGTGGAAGGCATTAGCATGGTGGAGTGGAGACGGCATTAGCAGCGCACCTCATGGAGTCGACTCAAAAGCATCTTCAGCTCTCGCTCCTTCACTCTCGCTGCTTTTGAGTCGACTCAAAAGCATCTTCAGCTCTCGCTCCTTCACACTCTCTGCTGGGATGCTTTTGAGAGTTCCCATGTTTGGTTGAATTTGAGAGTTTTAAAAAACAACAGACAAAAAGAAAAGGCAGGCAGCAGCAGCGCACCTGATGATGCTGCTCTAGCGACCGTTCCTTGACACATGCTGGTGGGAGGCTGATGGTGGGATTCTGGATCGAAGAATGGAGAGAACAGGGCAGAAAAGGAGAGAAGAAAAGGGCAGAAAAGGAGAGAAGAAAAGGGCAGAAAAGGAGAGAAGAAAAGGGCAGAAAAGGAGAGAAGAAAAGGGCAGAAAAGGAGAGAAGAAAAGGGCAAGGCAAGGAAATGTGACAGGGGGGAGGCAGATATGGGTTAGTGTGGGATTGCATGTCCCGTATGACTTGCCCCCAACTCTTCGGTTATAACTTGCGTACTCTACTGAGTCACCATGGGTTGGTGTAAAATTGTATGTTCCTGATGACTTGCGCTCTCTTCAGTCATGACTTGCTCACATTCTTGTCCCTAAATTGCTCACATTCTTGTCCCTAAATTGCTCACATTCTTGTCACATGCATGTCCTCATTTGCTCACACGCATGTCCTGACTTGCGCACTCACATGAATGGTCTGCACTTTACAAAAGAATGCTGCAATCCTGTGGGTGTTGTCGAAATCTGGGCTGCACATGGGCAGAGAGGGAGGGACAGAGAGACACACACACGCATGCACAGACATGAGAAACAAAAAAAATCCCACACTATGTATAAAACAAGCAAACAAACACCAAGTCAACAAGTCAATGAGCCCTTACAAGGCAAGGGTATATTTGAGTCAGTTGCAGGCAAGGGTATATGTGAGTCAGTTGCAGGCAAGGGTATATTTGAGTCAGTTGCAGGCAAGGGTATATTTGAGTCAGTTGCAGGCAAGGGTATATGTGAGTCAGTTGCAGGCAAGGGTATATTTGAGTCAGTTGCAGGCAAGGGTATATGTGAGTCAGTTGCAGGCAAGGGTATATGTGAGTCAGTTGCAGGCAAGGGTATATTTGAGTCAGTTGCAGGCAAGGGTATATGTGAGTCAGTTGCAGGCAAGGGTATATGTGAGTCAGTTGCAGGCAAGGGTATATTTGAGTCAGTTGCAGGCAAGGGTATATGTGAGTCAGTTGCAGGCAAGGGTATATTTGAGTCAGTTGCAGGCAAGGGTATATTTGAATCAGTTGCAGGCAAGGGTATATTTGAGTCAGTTGCAGGCAAGGGTATATTTGAGTCAGTTGCAGGCAAGGGTATATATGAGTCAGTTGCAGGCAAGGGTATATTTGAGTCAGTTGCAGGCAAGGGTATATTTGAGTCAGTTGCAGGCAAGGGTATATGTGGGTCAGTTGCAGGCAAGGGTGAGCCCGGCACAACCCAACCTGAGCACAACCTCCTGCACAACCCAACCTGAGCACAACCTCCTGCCCAACCCAACCTGAGCACAACCTCCTGCCCAACCCAACCTGAGCACAACCTCCTGCCCAACCCAACCTGAGCACAACCTCCTGCCCAACCTGGGCACAACCTCCTGCCCGGTTGATGAAGGTTCGAAGGAAATCGCAGACAAAGGCGGAAGAATACGCAACCACTCTCACTTTCCCCATTATCACACTCTCACACTCACCACTCACACTCCCCACACTCACCTTCTTCCCCACTCACCCTGTCTGCCACTCTCTCACTCTCTCACCCTCTCACACTCCCCCTTCTCGCCATCCTCCCCCCTCTCACCATCCACACTCATCCTCTCCCCTCTCATCTTCCCCTCGTCTCACCTTCTCGGCGTGACCAAGCCCCTTTTTCTCCTTTTTCCCCCCTCTTACCATTCCTTCTCACCACCCTCTCACCATCCTCCTCCCTCTCACCCTCCCCCTTGCCCCTCACCTCGTCTCACCTTCTCCACGTGGCCGAGCCCCTTCTTCCCCATGAGGTGCTTCACCAGCAGCTCCGCCACTCGCCTTCCGCGCATGTACAGCAGAATGCCCTTGGGGAAGGCGAAGGAAAGGGGGCAAGAGGAAGGGGAAGGGGAAAAAGGGGTTAAAATTTGAAATTTCAGGGAAAGTAAATTTAAAAAATCTCGAAATTACAGGGGAATGCGTTGAGGGGGGGGGAAGGCGGATTCGGGAGGGGGGGAATGAGAAGGAAGAAACAGCATGGCGAGAAGCGGAGAGGTGGAGAGGAGGAGACGGGAATGTAAAACGGTTAAGAGGTTAGCAGGCAGAAAGGCATAGAGGCGGAGAGGTGGAGGGGCAGGTGAGAGGCGGAGCAGGGGAGAGGTGGAGAGGGGGAAGCGCAGGGGACTGACATTGAAGTGAACTTGCTCGTTCTGGTGGCCTGAGAAGGAGCCGCCATCGCAGGAGATGAAATAGACGGCGTTCCAGTTGTAGAAACCTGGAGGGGGCAGGGGAGAGGAGAGAGGGGACAGGGGAGAGGGAAGAGGGGAAAGGGGACAGGGGAGAGGGGACAGCGGGGAGGGGAAAGGGGTGGATGCAAGGCGGTGTCAGCAACGCATGCGAAGAGCACAGCAGGCGAAAAGAGTTGACGGTGCGGTTGGCGCTGAGCATGCCCTGCATGCTGCCGTTCTGCGCATCAAGTGTGCGATGCAGTACAGTGCAGTGCGGTGCGGTGCAGTAGAGACCTATCTAGGGTTGACGGTGCGGTCAGCTGCCTTCACTCACCAGGGTTGACGGTCTTATTGCCACTGAGCATGCCCTGCATGCTGCCCTTCTTCTTATCCATCATCTCCCCCACTGAGCGCGCGTGCTTTGTCAACCCCAGGTGCATGCGCGCCCTGTACTCGCAGGCAGGCGTGCGGGGATGCGCACCATGCTCCGCCCTGGCATGATTCGAGCGGAAGGGGGGGGAGGGGAGGAGAAAGGGGGTGTCGCGAGGATGTCGAGTCAGCTATCCTATCCTCAGCAGCGATGACCGTGCTGTGCTGTATGCGCAGGCGTGCGGGGACGCGCACCACGCGCCGCCCTGGAAAGCCGCGCGCGGAAAGGGGGAGGGGGAAGGGGAAGGGAAAGGACGGGGAATGGAAGGTAAACAGAGGGAGGGGGAGAATGAACAGCAGAGGGGATGGAGGTCAAACGAGGAGGAGGAGAGTAGGCAGAGGGCGGAGCGCTGTTACAACTGAAGGAAAAGAGGAAGACGGAGAATCGTTTGTTCAAGGGAGGCGGCAATCACGCGTTATAGTCACACCTCGTACAGTCATGAAAGTCACACCTCGTAAAACAGCACCCAGTTGTTGTGTCCAGAGCCGTAGCCCTTGCGATAGTAGAACCCAGGGGCCGATCCGTCCAAGCACACTGTGCCCTCCGCGCGCCCTTCTTCCGCCAGAATCAGCTGCAGCGGCGGAATTCCCGCCTCCGCCATTGCGGAAGCATGGGAGGATTCTTTCACTAGCTCTGCCGCTCTCCTCCGCGGAGAGTCTCCGCCGCTTCCGCCAACAGCTAGCTTGCGGGGTTGCGCCGCTGTCCCACCGCGCAATCCGCGCACGCCGCCAGCTGCCGCGGCGACGAGGAGAAGAGCAACGAGAACCGCCGCTGCTGGTGGCGCAACTGGCGGGAAGCCCCGGCGCGACATGACGACGACGAGCGGAAGCGCGATAGCTGGAAGAGGCGGCGGCGGAGAAGACGCAGTCGACGGCAGGAGGGGAGGGGGAGCTTAGCTAGTAGCGGGAAACGAAATCAGCGGCGGAGAAGGCGCAGTCGACGACGGGGGCGATGGCTGGCGGGGGGAACAGACTCAGCGCCGCTGCGCGGAAAGGTGGCGTTTTTTTCGTGAAGGCGCTACTAGCTTACGGAAAATTGCCCTTGGCAAAACGGGCGAGCGGAGAATTCTCTTTGGCGGAGCGGGTAAGCGGAGAATTCTCTTCGCGGAGCGGGTAAGCGGAGAATTTTCTTTGGCGGAGCGGGTAAGCGGAGAATTCTCGTGGCGGAAATTCTTTTGGCGGAAAAATTCTCTTGGCATCACTGCGAGTAGAAGAGCCTTTCGACTTGGATGCAGGATGAGGAACAGCAGCAGCTGCAGCAACGAAGGAGTGGTGAGGAACTAGTCCGGGCGACAGGGTATTTGACGTGATCTTGATCTTATTGGACATCGTAAGCGCGGCGCGGCGGTTCATCGCGGATCGGCGCGGGGCAAGATAGGCGCGGGCACTGATCGCATGATAGGCGCGAGCACTGATCGCATGATTCGAGGCGGAAGGGGGCCCATCCACTGGTTTCGGTAGGTAGGACAGTAGCAGAAACTAACCAATGGAAGTGAAGTCACCTAGAACCGACTGTCGGTCGAGCCGATGGCCTCCGCTACGATCCATGATCTCCTCCCCATCCCCCCTTCCCCTTCCCGGTCCCTCCTCCCCCTTCCCCATCGGAAAAATCCCGGGTCAGCCAAAGACAGCCCCAAGGGGTTTGCCTGTGAGTCACCCGTCGGGGGGGGGGGGGGAAATGCGAACGGTTGATTTCCTGCTAGTTGTGTCGGTGCTAAGGGCGTGTAAAATCCCCGCGCAATTCTGAAAATGGGGTCTGGCCGGGTTTCCGACGACCAAATGGTCGTCATATTTTTCGCGAACAACGACGAGGTGGCCGAATCACGGTCGACTCTTTTACAGCCACCATGTACAGTTTTGGCGATTTTACAACTTTGGTGGCCGCTTTGCAGGCCGGTTCGAGAAAATTTGTAAAATTTGCAGTTACTACAGTACTTGAGAATGTACGACGGGGTCGCACAGTTGACGACGATAATTTTCATTTGACGAGATCACAAATTCTGTCGTTAGACATAACTGTACGACGTCGCAGGCGACTGTCGCACAATGTGTCGACTGCCTGGCCGTTTTGGAGTCGACTCTGCGTCGTTTTCCTGTCGACATTCTAAACAGCCATCAAATTCGTAATTTTTTTGTGAAATTAACGACTGTCGCCACTTGAGAAACGAACGTCGCAAACTGGTTACTTTCGCAGAAACGGCCCGACGGATTATGGCCGAATTTTTGGAATTCCCGATTTTACACGCCCTAATAGTCATGGTCGTATCTGTCGACCAATTGGTTATTTGTTGCGTGGTTTGCCCATTCGTTGGGCTGACTGGTAAGGAAGAGGTTCGATAGTCTAGGGTTGGTTCGGTGTCGAGCTGGTTTGTATGAGATAGGGAAAGTATATCCCCGCTCCTGACTTTCAGATTTCTCTCATATTCAGCCCTAGGTTTACTCAAAAAGCACCACTTTCTAGAATTTCTCTCACGCGAGGCCCAAAGTATGTTCAAAAGTGGTCCTGCGGGGCGATTTTTTCGACACGTGTCCTCTTGTTACACCATCTGACGAACTTCCACGCATGGAAAATTTGGACGGGGGCAAAAAAAATAAAACCCCTAGAGAACCAGGACACATTCGCGGGAGGGATCAACCCTAAACACCTAGCAGGTCCCGTGTTTAGGGTTGCTCCCTCCCGAAAATGTGTAATGGTCCTTTAGGGGTTTTATGTTTTTTTGTCCCGTAAAAACTTTTCCGGCGCGAAAATTGCCCTGACAAACGGTTAGTTCAGAGTGGAAGTGCGTCAGCTGGTAACAAAACGACACGTGTCGAAAACTTCGCCCCGCAGGACCAGTTTTGAACATACTGTCAGAATAACGAGGCAAGAATGAATGAACTAGCAGAAGTTTGGGTACAAATATGAAACCCTAGTTGGGGTTGTACCCCATATTGGCTACCCCACTACAGCCTACCAACATATAACACATTACAATTTAACACACCCCCATAGGCAAAGTGGGGGAGAACAAAGGGTCACAAGACCAGTCCAGCAAAGCAACGCAAGCCCAGGGTGGATCACAACGTCACCACACTCCGAGCACAAGCAAAGGCCACAAGGCCAGTTCACATGCAGTGCTAGATATAGTACAAGACAAGCAACACAGTGATCAAAACCTAGCAAGCAAGCAACAAGATATATATAAAGTACAGTACAAAGAATGTCAAGCAGTGAGCAAGTGAGGAAACGTGGACACAAGGCCTAAAGAAGTACAGTGCCGCTGATGATCACTAGGCGGGAGCGCCTTGGTGAAGATATCAGCAGTGTTGGCCTTCGAGTCCACGTACACAAGCCGAAGCTGACCGCGCTGCTGAAGCTCTCGAGCAAGAAAGTAGCGAAGAGCAATGTGCTTCGTCCTGTGCTCCAGTCTGTGCTCCTGACACAAGGCAAGAGCCGCCTTGTTGTCTCCGTACAGAACTGGAGGAGAACTAGGCCGCTCTCCCAAGTCAGTCAGCAGGTAGGTGAGCCAGCGTAACTCCTGTGCAGCCATGGCTGTGGCGTAGATCTCAGCCTCACAACTAGAGCCGAGAACAGAGGAAGAGCGGGTGGACCGCCACGAGACAGAACCAGAGCCAAGGCTGAAGGTGTAACCCTGTGACGACCGCTGCGTAGCCAGGTCTGTCAGAGGTCCACTGGGGATCCCCGATGATCCTAGGGAAGGGTTACAGGCACGTCGGCCTGGGGGGGTTATGGGCGCACTCACCCGCTATATAAACAAGCCATTTTATCCCAGTGGTTAGTGGCTGGGATTCTGACATGGTATCAGAGCGAAGGTCTCGGGTTCGATTCCCGGTGTGTGCACTTCGGGCATCCCAGTGCGGGGGGGTGTCAGAGGTCCATTGGGGATCCCCGATGATCCTAGGGAAGGGTTACAGGCACGTCGGCCTGGGGGGTTATGGGCGCACTCACCCGCTATATAAACAAGCCCTTTTATCCCAGTGGTTAGTGGCTGGGATTCTGACAAGGTCGTCCACCCAAGAAGCGTCCGAGTGACCAGTGAGGACAACTCTGTCGTGTCCTCCAAGCACCAGCCCCATGCCTGATGTACTGCACAGGTAACGCAGCACCCTCTTAGCAGCCTCCCAGTGCTCTCGCCTGTGTCTCCCAGGCGCAACGTAACGAGCAAGGATGCTAAGAGGGTACGCGAGGTCAGGTCGCGTGCAAGTCATCAGGTACATGAGGCAGCCTACAAGCTCTGGGTACGGGCCACTCGGCTCTACGGACTCGTCCGAAGGTGGAGCTGAGAGCGAGTGGCTGGTAGCCAGAGGTGTGGCCTGAGGTGAGGAGAACTGGAAGCCGAAGCGCTGAAGGACCTGCTGCACCATGTGTGACTGAGTCAGGGTGATGGTGCGGCGAGCTCTGTCCCGGGTGATCTGCAAGCCAAGGTAGCTACGCAGTTCACCCAGGTCAGTGCAGGTGTGTCTCTTCTGCAGCTCCGACTTCACACGAGCGAGTGCCTCAATGTCAGCAGTAGCAAAGACCAAGTCGTCGACGTACACGAGAATGTAGAACGGCGGCAGCGACGTGTCTGTGCGCAGAAACAGCGACGGGTCAGCAGTAGACGGCGCGAACCCAAGAGCCGCAAGTGTAGTCCTCAGTGTGTCGTGCCACTCACGTGGCGCCTGGCGGAGACCGTAGACTGGCCGGCGGAGGCTCCACTGGGTACCAAGGGGAAACGACCCAGTAAAGCCAGGTGGGCGGCGCAGCCAGATCTCCTCGTGCAGGCTGCCCTGCAGGAACGCTGTGCTGAAGTCAAGAGAGTGAAGCTCGTAGTCACGCTGAGCAGCAACGTGCAGCAGAACCCGAAGAGTGGTCATCTTCGGGGTGGGAGAGAAGGTCTGGAAGAAGTCGACCCCCTGACGCTGACTGAAGCCTCTAGCAACGTAACGAGCCTTGAAGACAGGCGGAGAACCTGGCGGCGGCTTCACCCTGAAAATCCACATGCCATCGACGATGTTCGCCCCAGGAGGGGGAACCTCGTCGACGTAGGTGCCTGTGGACTTCCAGGATGCCATCTCTGCGTCCATGGCTGTCTGCCACTGAGAGGAGTAGGGACCCGAGATCGCCTCTGCGTAAGTGCGCGGAGTGGGGATGTCTAGTGCATCCGGGTCTCCCTCAGGGGCAAGCAACCAGGCCACGAGATGAGGTACAGCAGCCGCAAGAGAGTCAAAGTCCTCCTGCCTGTCCTCAAGGACGTCCGTGCCAAGAGCACACTCACCCCCGACGGACGGAGGACAGACAGACGCAGACTCAGACTCAGCAACAAGGCTAGCAGCGTAGTCTAGACGACAGGCAGCAGCAAAGTCAACCAACTCAGCGACCAGAGCAGACGCAGCGGAGGACTCAAAGGTAGGGTCAGTGACAACAGTAGCTAGGAGACGCGTGACAGTAGGGTGCTCAGCACGATACCGGTCAGACTCAGGGTCCGGAACAGCAGGCAAAGAGGACGCAGGAGGAGACGGCAGAGGGACACGCTGAGGAGCAGTAGAGGGACGCAGAGTCATGTAGTGAGTGCCTGGGACAGGAGGAGGACGCTCACGACGGACACGACGACCAGTGCGAGCAGTACGGACAGGCGACGCAGGACGAGACTCAGGCTCACGACGCTCTGTAAGACCTCCTGTGGGACCAGTGTAAGGAGAGGGAGCAGGGAGAGGCGAGGCAGGCGGTAACTGTGACTGCGGCTGGACAGTCGGAGGACACTCGACGGAGGGAGGAGGACAAGGAGGAGGAGCCTGCCCAAGAACCTGCTGAAGGAGCGGTACGAAGTACGGTCGCGGCCGCGCAGCGTCTCCAGAAGCAGAAGAGACTCCACCGGCCAGGTCCTCAGTACCAGCAGGAGCCCCAGCGTCCGAGTCCCCAGCACCAGCAGCAGCTCCACCAGGTGGGTCCGCAGCACCAGCAGCAGCGCCACCCCCAGGGTCCGCAGCACCGCTAGGAAGAGCACCCCCAGAGTCGGCAGCTCCAACTCCGCTAGCACCACCAGCTCCAGAGGCCCCAGCTCCAGCAGCTCCAGTCGTAGTGCTCCCAGAACAACCAGTCCCGGCAGCTCCAGTACCCCCAGTACGAGCACCCCCAGGACGAGCAGCTCCAGCACCCCCAACTCCAGCCGAGCCACTAGGACGGCGAAAGCGCCGGACGTACCAGTCACGAAGCTGCTGCGGTGTGAGAGACTGCTCAGCACCCCGAACCGGAGCACCCCCAGACGCAGTAACCCGAGGCTCCGTAGGCTCAGTAGCAGCACCCCCAGGCTCAGCACCCCCAGACTCCGTACACGCAGGCTCAGCACCCCCAGTCGCAGCACCCCCAGGCT